TGGACATGCTACAAAACCCTCACGTTGTGCTCACTTTTGGCAAGATGCAATATCCCCACGCGCCTGCCACGCGAAACGACATCTGAACGTCCAAAAGTGGTCCGAACATGTGGTGTTTTTCGCATTTTGACTTCGAAATGTGCTTCGCGCCACAACGGCGTGCACTTTTTCGGCATCTCAACTTCTAAAGGTGATCCGAAGCTGGTGTGTTTTGTACATTTTGACTTCGAAATGTGCTTCGCGCCGCAACGGCGTGCACTTTTTCAACATGTCAACTTCCAAAAGTGCTCGGACGTTGGTGTGTTTTGCACATTTTGACTTGGAAATGTGCTTCGCGCCAGAACGGCGTGCACTTTTTTGATATCTCAACTTCCAAAAGTGGTCCGCACATGAGGTGTTTTGTACATTTTTACTTCCAAATGTGCTTCGCGCCACAATAGCGTGCAAGTTTTCATCTCTCATCCGGCCAGATGGCTCCGCACCCGCCGTTTTAGCGAGCCTACTTTTTGACCCTCCGGAGCCTTTTCCACAGTGTTTCGCGATTTTTTTTACCTTTTCCCGCACCTGCATCTTCTTTCTTCTGACTCTTTCTCTTCTCTGATCTTCTCTCTTCTCTTCTCTTCTCTTCTCTTCTCTTCTCTTCTCTTCTCTTCTCTGCCTCTTCCAACCTCTGCTTTTCCATCTGTCCATATTGTCGGAAGATTGACTTCTAAACTTCCTTCGATGATAGTTCATAAATTATTTCATAGATTATTTGATTCATGCTATTTCCAGAGTCTTGTTCTGACAAACTGTTTTTCCAGTGATGATAGTATCGCTGTAGTGGTCTTCGTTGAACACCAGGAGGGGGACGATGTGACACCACCGAGCTCACGCGGCCAAAGAAAGCTCGGCTCGGGTGCCATCGGGGTGCCACGATGTGCTACGATATGAGTCACGAGTCATGACACGGACGTTTGTGATGATGTTTTCTTGTGTAGCCATAGGAACGTATAGTAACTATTTCACTTGCTGGTGTTTTCTGTGGGCAGTTGTTTGCAGGACTGAGTTCTTGGACACAGTTCTTCAGCGTTTTTTGTTGTCCATTCTGAGACACTGGCAACATTTGGGAACATCTGGGAACATCTGCGATTTGACGTAGTGGGAACTCCATGATCTGACGAGGGACATGGCGCGCAGATTGGCTCGCAGCTATTGGAGACACCAGTACTGTCAGCTCTGTGCTGTGGAAATGGCATGCATCATTCAGATCATTCCATATCCGCCCGACTTATCGGAAGCAATCTCTGGCAGGATTTGAAACTGCGCAAATTGCAACATACGCCTGCATTACAGAGTTGTAAGCACAGGAAGGACGATTTTGTTTTGGCTGGTTTTGGTTCAATGTCATGCAGGAGACTAACCAAGTAGGTAGAGCATAACCGATGCATTCATTCAAGAACCATTTGAAAATTTGCACGGGCACCTGGACAGTTTCGCGTTCAAATTCAAAGCATCCAAGTCTTGACCCTTCCATGCATCTTACTCGAGTTGATGTTGTGTAACTTCTAAACACGGCCTGAGTTCAAACAAAAAACAAGCTTTCGGTGTTTTCATTGACTCCGCGACAAATTTTCTTTGACGCCCAATGCAGGAGGACAGCGGCATGTTCATGTATATTTGCTTGTTTCCCGTGTCGTTTTGCAGCAGCACATGATTTTTTATATGGGCATGGATCAGAAAAACGGTGCCAATGGACCCACACAATCTGTAATTTTTAGTATTTTTCAGAACTGGATCTTGAGAAGAAGAGTGTGACAGCTGATATGTCTGTAGCTGGGGACTTGCTTGTATACATAGACGTTTGGTTGTGGCCTTTCTAGTTTTGTTTTCGAGGACCTCCTGCCCACTTTTCCTTTAACGTCAGTGAATGTCCTCACCACAAGTGATGTACAGTGAAGATGGCCAACACATGAAACTATACCATACTATGCCCATATGTTACACCTTGAAACCGTCTTCGCACCAAACCTTATTTGGAATGGCGGGTTTTTCAAGTTACAGGAAACCCCAGAGGTGCGCAAGCTGACTGAAAAGGCTCGTGGCAGACAAAAGTGGGGGTCCCCTGGATTTTCCACTGGTTCCTGGCTTGGACACTGCAGATCAACCCGCAACAATGGGCGTGTCCAAACATGGGGAATTCCCTTTATGGCCATTTCGAATGGAGAAAATTCAGCTTTCTACTATTTTCTACCATGGGGAGTTTTTGGGTAGCCTATTTTAGACAAAGACATTTTACTTGAAGTCATTGCAATGGTTTTTTTCGTGGTAGGGATGGGCTGGTTCACTGATTCACGAATCCAAGGCGTGAAGTTGTGGCAAGTACGTTCTGTTAGCATGACATATTGACACGGTAGCACAAGATGGCAAACCATTGGCACTTTTCTTAACTACCTGCATATTTGGAATACTTTTGATTTTCAGGTCGATTCCTCACCATTGCTGGTTGCATCCCATTTCATCTCATTTCTATTGGTTGCGGAATATCCCCAACAATAACTGTCCATTTTTCCACCCTTGATCCAGATTTCTAATCGATTTGGTATCCAATGCCATGCGGGCTCAATTGCCAACACATCGCTCTGCGCAACTTTGGATTCAGCCCAAATCAGAAGAGGTTTCCAGTTTGGCACCTGCAGCTGCAAGAGCAGCACCCTGAGGTTCGTATTCGATGGACGCACCGTTTACGAATGGGAGCAGAGCCTTGGCCGTGTGGCGCTGGGTTAGTTGTGTCTCTTTAAAATGGCGAATGAAAGACATAGAACTCGGGTCTCATTTGGGCATCTCCCCCAATCATCCACCATTGATCCACCATTTTCAGCCGGAAGTTGGGGCCCATTCCCAGCCGCAGATGGTGGCAGGAATTTGGATGAGACCCATATCTACATCCAGCCACCTCCAGGGGTCACAAAGTTGGAAGCCGAGGGATGGAGACTGGGAAGACACCTGAGAAACAAGATCCATTCTGCAAGTGTTGTAGCGCGAAGGCAACATCTTCACAATGACTGGCAATGACAGCAGCATCAGTGGAGGTGATTGGGTCATTTGATGGGGATGCTGTGTGATGCTGTAGTTGAGGCATGCTTTGGACATCAAGATTGAGCTGGAAGCCTAGAGTTCTCATGGCGCTACACCGCAGAAGTGCTGTCAATTCGGTATGTGGACTTTTACGAAAGCCAACCGCTAGGCTAGGCGAAGTTTTTTTTGCGAACTAAGTGAGTTAAGGGGGTCTGGAGGCAGAGCAGTCTCAGTTGCAGTGGAGCCGTGTTTTTTGAGCATTTTTGAGGGGCATGTACCAGGTGGCAATTGGGTGACGGTGGGGCTTCGATTCCCCCCTGGTTCGTCCCTGGAGGTGCATTTTGGGAGGCGATATAGAGACCAGAATAGAAATCTAGAGAGCAGAATAGAATGACGGCAGATGGCTGAGCGCAGTACATAGCTCAAGATCCAGAACCAGGACGTTACTTCACACCATTTATTGCTGACTCTTCTACCTCTAATTATCGGGCTCCGATGTGGGACCATTATGGGCGCAAGGATTGGATAAGCGCGTGTGGACATGGTTGTCTGAAACAGATGTTTGCTGGTCCGTTCCCTGGAGGGAATGTCGGTCCGTGCCCTGGAGGGAATGTCGCCCGCATTGATAGAGGGTGGGCGGGGAGGGGATTGATAGGTTTGCTGAACATCGAGACAGTGGGCAAGAGGAATAGGCTGCAAAGAAGGAAAGCAAGGACATGAGGAAGTGTACGGGAAGACAAGCGGAAGGAAAAGGAAAGGAGAGTGAGCGAGGAGGGCAGTGGTATTGCTTGGAAAAGCACTGAGCTGAACCTAGATGGGGTATGTGGGCAGAGGCATTGCGTGGAAAGGTTGGAACTCAATGGCTGGTTTGCGTACTAGATGGTTGAGCGCAACACATAGCTCAAGCTCCACAACTGCTTAAAGCACAAAGGAAAGGATGGTGAACAGGATGAGGGCAAAGGCATTGCTTGGAAAGGTGGCTGCTTTTCTTTATTACAAAAACCAGGCGCTAGGCAAAGTTTGTTTTGCGAACTAAGTGAGTTAAGGGGGTCTGGGGGCAGAGCGTGCCAACGGTACCCAAAATCATGGAATTAGGTTCAGTGGAGCAGTGTTTTTTGAGCATTTTAGGCGGCAATTGGGTGACGGTGGGGTATCGATTCCCCCTGGTCCGTCCCTGGAGGTGCATTTTGGGAGGCGGTATAGTGATAGGTTTCAATTAGAGGCCAGGGTTGAGGCAGAAGTGGGTTGGGGGAGACGTGCAAGGGAAGCGCAAGGGAAAGGAGGGTGAGCAGGATGAGCCAGATGGCTGAGCGCAGCATAGCTCAAGATCCAGAACGAGGACACTACTTCACAATACTTCACACCATTTTATGTTGACTCTTCTACCTTTAACTGTTGGGCTCCGATGCGGGACCATTATTGGCGCAAAGATTGGATAAGTGCGTGTGGACATGGTTGTCTGAAACAGTAAGCCTTTCAGTTTTGCCCGCTGCAGCGAAAAAGAGAGACTTGTTCGTGTTCCCCTTGCACCTTCTCTTCCATATCTACTCTACTCTACTGTATCTTCCTCTATCCTCACTCCTCCTCTCATACCTCTTCCGCACTCCCGTGGCTTTCGTTCCTCCCTTCTCAGGTTTGCTTTCTTTGAATCGCTCTCCTGACTCTAAGGCAGTGCAGCCGTCCGTTCAGAAAATGAAGGATCGTTCCATTGCATGAGTTTTCTTCCGATTCATGATCACTTCATTTGCGTGCAATCACTCTGGATCTACAGCTCGGTCAAGATCATTGGTCAAGGAGCTCGGACACAGAGACTGTCAACTCTGGAACCATGCTGTTGCCACGGGTCAGTTCACCCTGGTAGCTGTTTACACATAGCTATCATAGCTGCTGGATTCCCCGCATCAACCATCAACAACAAGACTTCCCATAGGTGACATGACCACATGACCTACGGTGATTCAGCGGGTCAGCGGGAAGTCATGGGCCGTTCTGCCCACGCCGCCTTTCTGGATGACGCCGGTGCGTCGCTGGGTCTTCGTTCAAGCCGCGGGGCATCTGCCTTTCTGGGAGGAGAGGGTGGGATGTGACGGTAGAGCTGGCATCGACCATTTCAGCTGGGGCCAAGGCGCCAGCTGTTCATATCCTGAGATTGTTGGGTCATTGTTGGTTAAATTTATAGATAATGTATCCAACAATGCCCAGTGCAGTTTGTTCTTGTATCTGTATAATTATATTCTTCCAAGAAATCCCAAATAACTCATTTCAGCCCTTGGTTGATTGTGGATTATCACATATTATCACTACTTTGCCGGTAAAAACGAATCATTTGACTTTCACCAGTTCACCTCTGTGTCTCCCGCAGGAGTGCCACCGCGGGCAGCTCGGGGTTCATCCTTCTTCGGCACCACCATCAAGTTCTTTCCAAAGAGCCCGGAGTTGAAAGAACAAGAGGTTTGATGCGGCATCGTTTTGGGTGACGGAAATATTTACATATCAGTTAAATCGTTAAAATCAGTATAATGATTCCACTTACATCCAATCCCCATATAAAAAACCAACCATTGAGTGGGACCCCTAAATCAAGAGATGCACTACTTCCGCGTTTTTTTTTTTTCTGGGTGTTTGTCATTACAAGCACGCGAGAACGCTCTAGCAACCTCGAGTGACATGCCCCATCCAAGACGTAAACCGGACGTTGCAATGGAAGCAGAGCTATCATTCTGAACGCTGTAGAGATGCCCTGCAGCTGATAGAGAATTTAGAGAATTTTCTGCATAAAACAACACCCGGATTACGTTTAATGTACAGGTGCTCTAAATTTGAAGAGGTCAGAAGGGTTTTCTGAAAGCCGGATAGCTAAGTGCCCCTACCCCGGAGCCTTTCACATGATGTGAATAGAAAAGGGCGAACAGGCCGGAATTCCATAATGTGTAATTACAGGACTTACGAATATAGGTATAGACATGCAGCCACGTACAAAACACTAGACCTACTCTGTTCATATGGATGATGCGCACCATAGATATCCATAGATCCAGTCCTCCTATGTCCTCCTACATTGTGATCATTGTGTAATGTCTGATGTGACATGAAAGCGAATGGTGCCATCGGCAGGTGAGCTGTGACCAGGACCTAGGAGTGTGCAATCGAGAGCCTTGGCATCTCTTTGGACTCGCAAATGGATTTGAACATGGCCACAGTGAATAGGCCACATCTATAACATATATCATCTGACATCTTAGGTACCAAAAGTATCCAAAAGTCAGGGATGGGGGTCTAAATCTGTAGTACCATGAGGTTTTCACACAAAGATAGCGTTGATGTTCATCCCCTCCCAAACAGGGTATTTCACATGGTATTTCATGGCTGAAGGCCAAAGCGTATCGCAGTTGAGGAATGCGAAAAGCGCTATGGCGATCGCAGAGCCGAGTTTGAGGAGCCCTGCAAGCTGGCAGTGGCACAGCACTTCGAGGTGCATCTGACAAAAGGGGGGGCTACTCATCAAATACGATGTTCTTTTTCGGGAATATGATGAGCAACCATGATCAACCATTGATTTTTCGGTGTGTTATATTTTCAGACCAACACCAAAAACTGAGATTCAATCTGATTCTGCTTGTCTTTGTCGGGTGGATTTACCACAGAACCCACTAAAACGATCAGAAATCGCGATCAACAAAGCAGCAAGAGAGGCCTCATGGGTTGGATGTCTCATTTGCTGACAAACCATAAAGATCGGAGCGGGCTGCGCCACTTCAAAGATCCATTCATCATCGTTTTAGGAGTTTGCCCAGCAAGGATTAAACTTCACAACTGTCGTTCAGTCAAGTCCTCTGAAGGGTTTACTCTTCATGGTGGTTCAAACCACAAAAGAATCATAAAGAATCCATAGATGTCCTTTTCCCAATTGGTTGGTTGATTAATAGAGGGGTTTGAAGAAACCCCTTTAACAGGTAAATATTGAAAGAATCTCTTCTCATTCCTCGAATTCTTCCACGACAAGGATGGATGTTTCCCGCCCTTTGCCCGCGTTTGCGAGCGAACTGCCGGAGAGCTCTGGATCTCCGAGGTGAAGGCTGTGTGGGGCGATTGGTGGGCCACGGCTATGTGAGACCTACTTTGATAAGTACATTTTAGATCATGTCAGTACTGCTGTACCTCATACTTTTTCATCTTTTTTGGTAAAACCACCCTAAACCTACACAAACAAAAATGCTCAGTTCACCTCAAAAAAATCAGCGGCCCAGGTGGGACATGAGCTGAAGACCAGCAGCGGCTGGTCTAAGGTCATCGCTTCCCTACATTCTGATGCCCAGGTGCCAGGACGAAGGGTCCAAAGGGTTCATGGAAGTCTCATGCAGAAATTCTGATCTCAATTTTGGAATCATCCAGACCTTCTTAGATATATATTTTTTTAATGATATCTATTGATAGATTATGATAAATTGATATCTTATGATATCTTGTGATGTATGAAATGGATTCAAATGGCTCCAGCCATCCACTTGACGCCAGGGAAGCTTCCAGTACTTCTGCCTCCAGACCGCCGATGGCCGTTCCCTGTCCTTGACGGGGGACCACTTGTTGCGCCTGCGGCGCGATGACGTGTGGCACTGGCGACGCGCCAAAGATGCGTGCCTTGCCCAGAATCATCGGGGTAAGGGCCCTCCGGTCATGGCCATTTTTCATCGGTGAAAATGATGATCCGATTTTCGGACAAACCCATCTCAACTTTCGAAGGGCGAACTTTGGGATGCAATGACGCCATTTCGAGATCAAAAAACCCTGTGGCTGCTGCAGACGCTACAGTCTCGGTGTTTTCTTTGGAGGGTGTCACCAATCCAGTCGTCATGGTGTCACCGTTGTATTTATGACAGGTCGTGATGGGTGTCACTTTTTTGTAGTCGAGCATCAAGAGTTTGGCAGTATCGTGTTGGATGGAAGCAGGTGTGGTCTACTTAGTCTACTTCAATAATAGTGGAAAGTTCAGATAGCAAGTTGTATGTACTGATTAGCTGACCAGACGACCATTCGACCAGGCCCCATCCTGATTTTTCTGACCTGTCCATCTTTGGGCTGAGGCGTATTGGAGACCAATTGGAAGATGCGGAGGCATGTGAGACCTATAGGAAACCCCACCACTCTCTGGAAAAATGTCCAAGTCTGGAACAATGGTCAAGGAAGGCGCAGGAAAACACTGATTTATCTCATCCACGTCAAGATTCTCCACCTGGACTTACAGACTTAAACTCATTCCCGTATCATCTTTCAGTAAATGGGTGCCTCTGAAAATAGCCCGATTCCGACCATTGGTTAACATGGGTTAATCTTCATTTTCCCATATTTTCCCTATGAATATCTCCGAAAAAATCACCCATCCCAATAGTTCCCCGTATCCATTGGTGGTGAAACATCCCCAGCCCAGGGCGATTCGGTGGAACTCGTGAAGATGAGCTGCGTCCCCTGGCAGGGGGCCTACGCACCTCTCACACTTTGTGGCGAGCTGCTGGTGGATGGTGCCGTGGACGAGTTTTTTCTGGGCGACAACGGAAGAACTTCACATCTGAAAAGTGGGTAAACTTAACATCTGTCAGGATTTTTTTAACTGGGATACCATATACCCTCTGAAACTTGATGAATGAAACTGTTAAACTAACATTGTCTTAAACTTACCCAAAGTGATTTCCGCCAGACTCTGACGGCTCAGAATCTGGCACAAACAGCGACACAGCTGAAAACAGGGAACAAAGACTTGGGGGATTCCGCCGAAATTGGGGATATCATTGGGATATCATGCAGGTATCATGGGGATGGGTTGGTCAAAAAATTGGGGCGATTCCCCCAAAGTGGCAATTGTTGATGGAGAACATGATGATAATTAATACATTCCCCCTTGCCCCATGATGCACAGTTGGTAACTGTATATGTATGTGTATGTGCTAGCGACAGGCTGACACTACCCCGCTGTGCACGCCAAAATACGACGAGTAAAGCATCATTGAAATAGCAGAGATGCACTGATGATACCATACAGACATCTCTACTATTTCATCAGTAATGGTATGGTCTATGATACCATCATGGTAAATAGTTGATACAGACAAGATACCATGATGACTTGGGAGTTCCTGTGACAAGAAATGACTTCGTCATCAACACGGCGCTGCAGGCTGGCGTTGTTCCTGTTTTGCACCGCGCTGGGCTTTGCCTCATGACTTCTGTCAAGCAGCGCAACTTAGCACAACTAATGGAGCTGAAGTTCAGCTGAAGGCGGATTATATAGATTTTTTTGTCCTCACAAAATGGGAAAGTGATCTACTGAAAATCCTTTTGGTGAACTTTTCCATCTTTTTGGGACCTTCCCAAGTAATTAATTGGGGACATCGTACCTTGAAGCTACAAAGAGGTTCCAGGGCCGGTGCGACCCCATGAACTCCCGCTTGAGAGTGAATAACACTTGCCTGGACTGACCAGAACAAGAGCAGATGTTCTATAATTTGTCAATTGATCCATTTCAATCCATTTCGCTGATTTGAAACACACACACACACAATATGATATAATAATATGTATGTGTATAAATATATACTGTATATATATATGTGTGTATTATGTTATATTATATTGGAATATATATACCCCTTGATCTTGGAACCTTGTTTTTTCAAGGTATCTATGATAAAGTCAAGTTATATCCTGAAGATATGGTACAAACCTGTGTTTTGACTATAACCCTCTTTTGAACCTTTCAAGTATACTATGATTTTAATATATTGATATTCACATATGTTACATATGTTTGAAATCCAGCGCCGGCTCAAATTTGGGCAAAACAAACCAGTGACAATGAAATCAAAGAATCAAATAGTTAGAACTCAGTGTAAATGATGATATGATGATAAGAATGGCCCCAAAATGGTTTAAAGGGAGTCCCAACCTTGGAGCCTGCCCTTCGCTTGCTGCCACGTGTTCGCGTCCGGGCCCCAACTCTTTTTTGACCTGGCTTGGATTCAGTTGTCACAGCGGCAGTGGGTCAAAGTTGCACCAGCAAAGTCCTGGAGTCATGTGGGAGGATTTTGGCTCAATTTTTTCCAGGGTGAAAAATGCCTAGGAAACCCAAAATGATGTTGGCTGAGCTTGCCCAAATGTGGGACAGTGATCCGGATGTCCGGGGGCATTTGCGGAAATACCAAACTGTTCTACATGTTGATGGCCCTACGTTCCATCCAACGGTTGCATCATGCAGTTGCAATGTGGCTACACTTCTTCCTGTGCTCCAGTTGACGCAGGAGCACCTTGACTTAATTATTAAACGATAATGATGGTCCCAATGATTTCCAATATGTATGACCCTCATGTTGTTGCTGATTCTTCATGTCATATTCAACAGATCTCGATTTCCTTTATTGTGATGCACATTTGCCATTTTTGAAACCAATCAAATTTATTGTCATGCCTGACGCCTAGGGAACTTCTTTTGCCCGAAGTCAAGCCGTTGACAACTCAATTGAAGACCTTCTACGAGTGGAACGGACTGCAACCAGCCGATGAACATGTCTACCGGGAATGTTGGGGTATCAAAGCTGCCTGTGGCTTCGTGAAACGAAAGGGTCGCAGAGGTGAGGTTCCCAAAGTACCCTGGCTAAATGTACTTCAGTTTAATCCCACTACTGTATGTTTTTTTGAATCGGGAGTAATGCAATAATATGCAATATATAATTTGACAATACAAAGTCTTTCAGTTTTGGGGATGCCAAAAAAAAGTCTTTGAATTTGGATTAGGCTGCATCAATCCCGCGCTCAGGACCAACGATTTCACGCGCTCCTCTTGGCATACTTCCCGGAGTTGCAGGTGCTTTGCCTGCAGGGATGCAGTGGTTTGTTCAAGCCAAATGACACTTAAGAAAGACATGTGGTTTTCTTTCCATTCCTCTTTGGGTTTTCTCTGGCACTGTGCAGGAGCGCATCGATGAAGTACTGCGAGAAATGTCAGCCGGCAATGAAGAGAATGAAGAGGATGAAGAGGCGTGAATCAAGTGGCTCCCTGATATGTGTTCAATGTTGGTTTGTTGCTATCTGCTCTTCATTCTTTTATTGTGAGAACCTTCAATGATCTTCAGTGGGTAATTGGTATTGAAACTCATCCAGTGGAACCCCTCCATGATTATCTTGTCAGTCCTTCAGTCATGTCCATCTTCCAGGATGCTGACTTCGCTGGAGAACCTGGAGAACTTGATGCCCGCGAAGATCCTGCATTGGACAATGGGGACGATGATGACCAGGAGGATGGGGAGGAAGAGTGTGATGGTGAAAATGATGATGAAATCGAACCAATTGAGAATGGACCAGAGTCTTTCCCTGACACTGAGATTGATGGTGAAGCTTCGGAGGTGGATGGCGATGATGAGGTTGAGATGTCTGATCTTGACCCCTACCGAAACCAGCCGGACAACCAATTGGGCTTAGATGATTACCAGTCCCCCCGATCAGTGAGTGAAGAACATGCTCCTACACCTGCTCATGATGAGAGGGAGGTCGCAGAGGCTACCCCAGCTTTGCGGAAAGCTGTGCATCTCAAACCGGAAGACTTGCCATCATCATCTTCAACAAAGTCATCCCCAGGCGCCAATGAGACTGTCGAATTGTTTCTTATTACTTCAAATATCACTGATATATAGTAGGCCTCCTATGAAACATGTATTGGTTTTGTTTGCCGCAGGTGCAGATGACTCTGTCGCGCGCGTCAATGCAGAGATGGACGCCATCATTGCTGAAATCAAGAGGCTTATGTCATATGTCTTAAACTTTCATATGCACTTATACACTTTAGTCAGCGTAAATTAATGCTTTAAATTTGCAAATGTTCTTCATATGTTTTGACAGGACATGTTTTGACATATGTTTTGACCATTCTTGGCAGGCGGGAGGAAAGCCGCCGACACCACAAAGCTGTAGCAGACGAAGGCTAGAGGGTGAGGTGGAAAGAGGATACTGTAGCACCAGCTCAAAGCAACATGCAAGCCAATACCATTCCCCTCATATCTGACTCCCATGCTACAAATTCTTCACTGTGTAGTTGTTACATTCTTGTTCTACAGTGCAGTCTTGTATTGCTGCTTTGCTGCAGGAGTGATGGTGGTTGACGATTCCCAGCCTGTGAGTGGTGACATTGATGTCTGCGATACCCTGCCCTTGTTTCTGGAAGATTGGGGTATCCATGAAGAATGCCTACCTGCAGAACCGAAGCCTGATGCTGCACCTTTGGTCTTCACATCCGGGCCAGTTGATGTCCCAGATACCCCAAGCATTGCCAATTCTCCTGCACATGGCAGTGAACCTGCTACCCCTGATTCCGGTGAGAGACCTGTCAAGAAGCCTCGCACGCTTCCACCCGTACCAAAGTTTGAACCATCCAAGCCTGATGAATCCACCGTGCCATAGTGAAAACCAAGACGGACTATTTTCTTTTTGAAACAAATTTCAATTTTATATGTTTGATTGGGACGTTTCTCCTCTACCAATTTCTGATGAACAAGTTCCGTGTTTCTCAATCCTATCTAAGGTGCTGACTCGCCGTGACCAGCTCAAGGTTCGAAAGCCCAAGGGCAAGAAAGGCGACAAGGGTGACGGGGAGAATGAGTGTGAGGATGGAGAAGATGAGGGTGATGTAGAGGGTGAAGATGAGGCATCAAAACAGGGATCCAGAAAAAGGGCTAAGAAAGCAAATGGCAAAGGGAAGGAGCCTCAGAAGAAGGCCAAAGGGAAGGGGAGAGGAAAGGGCAAGACAGGTAAAAAGGCTAAGGAAAGTGATGAGGCTGGGGATGGAAAGACAGCTCCAAAAAGAACACGAAAGTCCAAGGAAGCTCATGATGATGATGCTGTTGACACTGTTGCCAAGGGTGACGCACCTCCCAAGCCAAAGGCATCGACCTCCAAGCCTACCTCGAAGGCTAAGGCATCTCCCAAGTCTAAGTCTAAGGCATCTCCCAAGCCTAAGTCTAAGGCGTCGAGAACAAAGTCATCCAGGTCAGCAAGCTCTGCTCCCAGCCCCAGAGGTCCTGCTGCACGTGAGGAGCTTGATCAATCTCGCGCTGATGCACCTGAGAGTGCGGAGCCGGTGAAAAAGCCCCAGAAACGTGGGCCACGAAGGGTGGCAACTCCCCAGTCCCGTGCTCCTGATGCCCCCACGACTGATGAGTCCATGGTTGAGTTGAAAAAATCCTTCAAGGGTGAGATCATTCATCAGTGGAAGTCCGGGAAAACACGTTTGACCGGTGGTGATTTCCCAGTCCGCAGTTTCGAGCACACCACGCTCTCATGCTACTTTACCAGGTCCAGACCATCCATTGGTTTGAGGGCCAAAAAGAAGCAGTACCCAATGCGTACCAACCTTGAATACTTCAATTTTTCCTTCAACATCAAGGATGTTTGCAATGTTGGCTTGGCCATGAAGTGTGCAGTCGAAGCTGCTTCTTGTCTTATGATATCCCTTATCGATTTGTAAACAAAATCAAAAGAACAGATATCAAGCAAACCCTGATCTGCAAAACTAAGGCTGAGTGGATTGATGATCAAGCGTCACAGGATGAGAACTTTGATGCCTTTGCTCAGTCTACGTTTGATGGCCTGGATCTGTTTCGCCAAACGGCCATGGCAGCAATTGCCGAGTACAAAGCTGAGACCGGCGCTGCTGATGTCGACTGATGTTGCCATAGTGGCCACCTGAGCCCACTGGCTTCATAGAACTCTGAGACTTTGAGAGATGCCGTGTTGTGCTTTTAGGCACACGGGTTCTTAGGCAGCCACCGTTATGTGAGAATGTGTTCATGTTTTTTTCATCCTACCACCAATGGGGTTTAAATCATACTGACAACTGAAAAACTTAGTATATTATACTTTTGATTGCACAGCCCTTTCCATTTTTTGTTGCATCGTTGCTTTGATAAAACGGTGTTGCCAAATAAATTAGCCCTGCTGACTTTACTCACCGCAGTGGGCAGAACCTGCTGCTTCCAGGGGTTTGGCAACCAGACCGATTTGGTTGCACTTTACATTTCAATGGGATTCATGGCTGATGAGCTCGAATGAAATTTCAGAGACATCGTGTGGCCACAACTGAAAGATCTGAAAGCGAACGTGGAAGAAAATGGTCCTGAGTGCTTCCAAACTGCTCTGAACCTTTGGACCATGATTTCGTTGACCTACATGTTTTGCCTTCAATAAGAGCCTTTTCCACCTGACCTTTTCGCTCTTGTTTTTAAAATCTGAACTCCTGCTGCCCGCACCTGAGGCCATGTTCTATGGTCAAAATCAAGGGCCGGACCTGGGCTGCAAAACGTGGACTCCTTCGTAATGAATCACGTCAACCTGGCCAGATTGAAGATTGATCAAATCAAACCAATCAATGCGGTCTTGGGGCTCATGGGTTCTGAGTACTTGGGGGTGATACCATTTGAAACTGATTGCATTACATGTGCAGCCGGAACTGAGAAAGAACTTGAGCTTCCCGCATCTGAAGCATTTTGGGTTTAGTCTTTCAGGGGTTCTGCTTTTCGCTGCTTGCCATGAAGTCCCTTCCAAACATCGTATGCCATCTTTTGTCCATGTGTTGCCCCGGCGACACTCTGATTGAATTTGATGTCGAATATTTTCCGTTATATGTATTAATGACAGATTCCCAACATATCCCAAAAGTCTAATTTTGATAATTTTTAATGCTTCTTCCTTTGATGATCTTTCATGTCATGATGCACCCATTACCTTAAGATGCTGGTGTTTTTTTCCGGCCTCCATCTCCAAGGACTTCATCTTGGCTGTTCTCCTGACGGCGTATATCTCGCATTCCCATATTCAAGAGGCTTGGGGTGATCTGGCCTTGGTTGGGTGTCAGGCATAGCAAACCCTTATGTCAAACCATTTTAATATCCCTGAAGGACCTGCAATTCATAGAGTTCTACGCAGGGAAAGCTAGGGCTACGCTGTGTATGAAATCGGCTGGTCTGCGTGCTGCCCGCCTTGACTACATGTACTATGGGGAAGACGGCAACAACTACTACAACATCTTGTCAGATGGAGGGATGGCGTTTCTTGGTATGTAACAGATTTTTCAACCCAATGATGTGTTCAATAAATTATATATGCAAAACCACCAGCTTGATACAATGAATAAGGTTGGCCATATCGACTATGCTCAGAGCGCGAGCTGGAGACTGCTGCATACTACTTGGTATGAAGTGCTCCTCTTGGTCCGTGGTGAATCGAGGGACCAGTAAACGTGCCCCATGCTGCCCAGCTGGAGATTTATCTCAGCCCAGTGTCCGGGAAGCCAATTGTATGGCTGCACGGAAGCTTGGTTCCATCTTACATTATTAATCATTATACACATGCACATGGGTTTATTTCCATCATTTCCCAACAAAATGAGTAAAGAACAACTTTTTCAGTTGTACACCTTAATGGACCCTCGCTTCGTGAGTTAATCCAAGGACAATATTGCTATGCCTACTTGCTTTGGCGACGAATTGTGTGTACATGCTGGAGCAGCCCTATCAAACAATGCTTCGATGGTACCCGAGATTCCGACACATCATGAATGTCAGCCGAGTTTTGTGACTGTATTATATTATATAATATTATATTATATAATATAATACTATATAATATTATATAGTATATAATAGTGATGGGGAGATATGGGGAGACAGGGAACAAATATTTGTTTGTAACGTTTTTTGATCAACGAATCTGAGGTTTACCAAGCGGCCTGGTGGATGTTGCACTACGGCTCATCAAGCCCTAAAAGGCATGTGATATTTTCCAACTCCCCCCACATCTCAAAGCTCTCGCTTGGGAGTCTACGGGGGTGGAAATCTGAGAACAACAAGGGAAAGAAACCATGCCGCAGCTACATCGGGAAGGATGGAAAAAGGAAGTTTCATGGGACCCGCCACCTCAAAAGGACTGAGAAACCTGCCTTAAGGTGGAAGTTGGGGCTATGGGATATTACTATGGTATACCCTTTGAAGTTGATCTGTTCCTTTATGGGGTGACCTACGAAAGCATTAACAATTGTAATCACTAACGATTTCAAGAAACACTGCAATGCCAAATGTCGCATTTCCCAGCCAGTCCTTAGGATAGGAGTTTGGCACCTTTCTCCGCCTGGTCGGATGTTGGGGATGATTTCCCGATCCTTTTTTGGGACAGGGGTGAACATGAAATTGAAAATTTACATGGGAGATATCTGGAGATCATCAATGGAAGATTTTCCCAACAGTACATAATATGGGATTTATTGGATCTACCCCAAATTGTGGTTTCGAGGGTCCACCACGGAGGATGATTTCTGGTATTTTCTGGTGCTCTAAGTCAGAAAACAGGGTAAATGCTGCACTGAATGGCTTTGGTGGCCATTCGCTACTGTTCATTGCTACAATTTGTGAACATGCTACTGGTTCTTGTGTTGTGTTGTCTATAGGTGGTTTGCTGGTTTTCAGCTGACAAGTGCAGTGTTTGGTGTTGGTTCTTGAATGCTGGTGCTCTGCTCTCAGGGATGTGTGATTTCCTCTTAGTGCTCCGTGGCTGTACTGAACCTTATATAAAGGATACAACGTAAACAATTGATTCATATATTGGGACTTGCTCAGCCCCCATATGAAATAGAGGAATGAAGAGATGGTAATACTTTGTGTCTTGAACCATTCCTGTCTGGTCCCAAGGCATTATCCAATGCGATTTGGGCTGAAGCTTGTTCAATTACGTGAGAGCATGCTGAAGGAGCACGCTCAGCCACCAACAAAACGTTGGGACTTTGACTGGTACAACATGCTCAATGCTTTGGAGCGTATTGACTGGACTGACGTCTGGGAGGATGCTGAACTCCAGTCCGTTTGTCATTACTTACGTGGCTCTGTGGGTCTGGAGCTGCCACAAGAAGTGCGCAGAATCATTCCAACTGCCATCTAGGGAGCAACTCCCTGCTGGGTGAAGGACCTACCTGGTCTTCTCGGCCAAACCAATGATTTGGAATTTCCAGGGCTCCCCAGGGGTTGGCTCACGAATACATTTTTAATCATTTTTGATGTTTTTTTTGTTTTTTTTAGATTTTTGATGATTCTAGAAAATCAATGGAAATATCACCCCGTAATGTACCGTATCTCCTGTAAACGCCCGTAAAATATCCCGTATATGACCTACCCGTAAATTGACTACCCGGAAATACCCGTAGAGAACCCATAAAATCCCGTAGAATTACGTAATGATTTTACGTACTTTGAGGGTTATTTTAAGGTTTTTGGCAAAAACCACACTTTTCAGATTTTGAAGAATTTCATGGCCCTTTATCACTTTTGGATGGGGTTTCACAGCCCAGCGGGGTGCTTAGAAAATTCCCAATGGGGAACAATTGCGAGCTTCTAGTGTGCATTCACTGCTGGAGGCATCTGGGGGATAAAAAGAAACCAATACTGCATCTCAAGCTGTCATTGGTGTCTTACATGTCACACTTTGGTAGGCATGTGCATCAAAACTCTATGGTTAGAGCATCTTTGAAACAATCCCCTTGTGATTTGTGAGGGCTCAAACCTGCTGGAGGAAAGCCGTGTGCCTCCAACATCTGCCACCATGTCAGTCGAAGGGCCCAACAAGCCGCCAATGAGGATGGCCTCACGTCAGTGGAGTGCCAATACTCTGGCTGATGGTCTTACTGCAGTCATGTCTGATGTGAAAGCAGAGCCATGGCATGATGCTACTGATGACGAGTTGAAAAACCGTTTGAAGGCTAGGTCACTGAACACTTCTTCATGACATATTGGTTGAAATCTTTATATTTATTGTCATGCAAACATTCCTGAATGCCAGGACCTTCGAGAACAAGCTGGTCTACTTAAATTTTTGGAGACGGGTGCAGCTCCTGAGGAGCCCATATGTTGATTTGTCCAAATGCTTGTTTTTTTTTAAAGTGTGTCCAGTCTGAAGCGTCCATCTTGAGTTTCAAACGAGCTCTTTGGCATGCCACGATGCCCAGCTTCTTTTCAGGAACCTGGCATGAACAACGCTGTGCCGAATGTGGAGCCGTCTCCAGCAGAGTCAGTAGAGACCCCAGACCACAATTCGATGATGTGAATGTCACTTGAATGATATCTAAATGTAAATAGCAGTAGAAGTTCGAAGGATATAAGAGCATACAGTGTTTAGATGTTTATATGGTATGGTATCTTACTCACCTGTGTGTTCTCTATCATGGTCACAGTTTTACTGCATGGATTCTGAGGCTACTCTTGATCGTGCACTACAGGAAGAACGTGCTGTTTCTGCAGAACGTCAGGCCACTTATACTTTATTGTTTTGAGCGGTGAAAAACATGTTTCAATTGATTCCCTGAACTGGGAGTGTGAGACTTTCTCATCCAGGCGGAGTTGCAGAAGGCGCTGGACATGGCCCATGCTGAGATTCGAAAAATGAAATCCCCAGATTTTAGAAAAGAATCATCAACTCGTAAGGATCCTCCAGGGGTTACTGCTGAAGTGCCACCAGCAAAGAGGGCTAAGGGTGAATCCGCTCCGGCTGGCCCTACTGATGCCAATACTCCTGCTACTCCCTCTGGCTCCCGACCGCCTCGTGGAGGTGTGGAGCCTCAGGCCAGGGTGTTCAATGTTGCTCAACAATTTTCAACACACTTCAATTTCCTTTTTCTAAAGTTGTTGGAGTCATCATGTGTTGCAGGCGGTCCCCCAAACACAGGCTGCCAAAGAGGCACGGCTCAGAAGGCTGTGTGAACGCAAACCTACTGGAAAACTTCACTGCCCAGAGTGGCTTCACTCAATGTGGAAGAACCCTGCCAATAGAAACGAATTGGTGGAGAAGTTAGAGGCCAATGGTTGGAACAAGGACTAGTCCAGTGGGTTATTTCGTTTGTTTTAAGAATTGGAAAATGCAGTGATACTTGGCCCATTACTCTAAACATGCACATGTGCATCGCTAGGATTCCTTCATCAGGGAGTTGACCGTGCAGCATGAACGCAGCAACCAGAAAAAGCTTGAGACTACGAAGGGGTGGTACAGTGAGCCGGATCTGAAAGATGAGCTGGGATGGAAACCAACACTTGACTGGGAGACTTCAACAAACACACAAATATATAGTCGACATATATACCTAAACATTTTTTTTTAGAATTATATATAATATTATATAATCTTATTCATTTCCACTACAGTATCTTTGCGTTCTGACCTCTTGATCTAAGGGAAAAAGTGAAGGGTGCTATCGCTGCTTGTCGCCGCCATCCACAGCAGCTGATCAGGCAGGCCCACTTTGGATTGAAAAAATACATGCAACTTATGATGCGTTTATAACCTGAACGGTTTTGCCCGTACTGCAGGCACAACCCTTATGACAACTCTGAAGAGTTTTGGGTGGAAGTCCGCACTACTGGATTGGTGGGGTACCAGGAGACCCAGTCTGAGAAAGAGACCAATCGTCAAGCTTCTCTGTCAGCTGAAGCTTCTTCTGCACGTTGGTTTGTCCTGGCAATTGCACTCGTGCGTGGCTTTGCTTTGCAGTTCACATTCAAAACCATTGTAGCTCAGGATGGTGAAACCATGATGGCTGGCCCTGAAGTTCCAGGGGATTTCCCAAACATGGAGCACCCTGGACAAGGTGATACTGCTGGATCTGACAAGGCCAGACCTTAACACTCAAACAGTTTTGCCAAGAAATGATCAACATTTTTTTTAGAATCTGCCGAGGAGAAGGAGATGAGCCAGTTCATTGCATCAGTGCTCGGCAAAACCAGCAAGCTGCACCAGCTGATTGGCGAGTTGCAGAGCAAATTCGATGATGCTCGAGCTCTGAAGTTCCTTGGAGTCAATTGGCAGTGCATGACATCTCATGACAAAGCAAGGGATTGACAACTTCCCATTTCCTGCAGGGCAAAAGAACTGCTTGAACAGAACTGTGCACACATGGAGCTTGAGTACGACAAGTTGGTGCAGCTCAAGACCAAAGGTGAACTACAAGGATTCGGGGGGAATCTCGTCTTATCAGGTTTTGCCCACAATCAGTCGGTGAACGTCTCAAATGATATGAAATCACTGATGCATCGATGCTTTTCATGCTTTAAAAATCTTTGAAATAAGGCTGAAGGAGGAGATTGAGAAGCAGATCTCTGCATCGACCTATGTGTGCCTCAACTGCCCTTAACAAATGATAGTTCTGCATTATGGTCTGGGTCACCATACCTTCTGCGCCTAGGTGCTCGGCTGCCCTGGCACAGGAGACAAAAGTCCGGCACTCTTCTTAGCAACAACAACATGAAACAACACTTGTTTTACCGCAATTGCCTCTTACAAATCTCTGATGTACATGGATCTGTTTGATTTGTATAGCGAGCTGCCTCTTCCATGAAGTCCGCAAGAAGACTTTGCACATGACCTTGCCGAGGAATGCAAAGGTTGCGTGGAAGAAAGCCAGCACCACGACCCCAGTTCCAAAGAGATCAGCTGCTCCACGCTCTGATAAAGAGTCAGAGCCAGAGCCCACTGCAAAAGCGAAGGCTGATTGTATTTCAAACATTTATCAAATCTATCAAAAATGTTCAAATATTTCTTGTTTTGACCACAAGTGTCCCATGTTCTTTCAACAAGTGCCCCCTGACATGCAGGGTCAACCAAAGAAAGCTGCAGCTTCGAAAGCAAAGGATCCCGCCAGGAGGAGAAAGAAGTGAGCTGTTTTGATATACTGTCGAAAGATAGTTGATTCCTTCACACATTTGTATGTGTGTGCGTTTCGTGGTATGGTATGGCCGTCGGTCTAAAACCACGCAAGTTGCTGCTGGCAGTCAAGGGTTCTCATTTCAAAAACACAATTCAAAAATAAATAGTGTGTTGAACCGCAGCTGCGTGAATTAGCAATGGCCGTGTAGTGCAATAGAAATTGCACAGTCGGGACCCAGAGGTTGAAAATTATCGGGACCAAAAAAAGGAGCTCTTTAAACCACTTGAAGTTTCATACACAGCCCAGATGGTGGTTGGACTTGTTTGGGTTTATTTTGATCTTTTGCTCCTCAAGATTCCTCAAGTCATGCCAGGTCCCGGACAGACATTGAGGCAACTTGCACACAATGTTGGCGAGGGAGTTGGAACCTGAGAGAACCAGTCAGTCCAAAATTTTGAGCGAACCAATCAGTTGCAGCATTGTCTCATGATCACCCCATGATCTGATGGTACCTGGGAATCTTGAAGGTTTTATGTGGCTCAAAACGTTTGACTTGAACTTGACATGTCGTCCAATGATCCTGTGGAAAACACGGATCTAGCTGATGGAGATGTAGAGCCAGAACCAGAGACTCCCCGTGAAACTGTGGCCCCAAATGCCAGAGCGACCCTGCCACCAGCAGCTACTGCAGCCAGAAGGCGTGTGCTGGATCTCTCTGAAGGCCAGCCAGCATTGCATGAACTGGATTGTCAGGTGATGTGAGTTTGAATTATCAGCCAGTATTGTCCATCGAAATCTTAATGGCTCTTATAATATCCATCAAAATCCCACTATATATCATATATAATATTACATATAATATAATATCTTACTGTATATCCCATATATTCATGATTCATAGAATTGTTGAATCAATGGCTCTGGGCCAACATGCTAGTCCATCGACGTGAAGTTGTGCGCCGAGAAGTTCGGGCCATGACAGCCAGAGAGCTTCAAGACAAAGGCGGGGGAAACCTGCACCCCCAAGACTTTAGCTACTTCTTTCATTTCCATACCATGCCCCTCTAAACATCAACATGTCCTCAATCAGGTTGGCCTATTCCAGCTGCTTCTGATGATCAAGACCCTGTGACCGGAGAACCGATCTACTGGGTAGAGCTTGAGCGCAGCTATGTTCGTGATCCTAAGCTGAACTATAGGATAAGACATATGCATGGCGCATGTGCACTGTGTGTGTGTGCGTGTGTCTGTGTGTGGGGGGGATGTGTTTTGGTTTTTGGTGTGTGTGTGTGATTGTTTGGATTGATGTGTTGACTCCTGAGGAGATGAGACACACGAGAGCTGCTGATGACGAAGGTTTCTTGGTTTCAACTTTATGGCAGTCTTTGTCTGCAGCGCCGTTTTGAATCTGTATGATGTCTCAACAATCCTTTCCCCTCGCCTTTTAAGGTGATGACAATGGTGAGTTGAATGCTGCTGAGAGGTTTGAAGCCCCAAGGTGGAGAATTCGGGGTCGTGAAGGTAGCTTGGTTCCTGATGAGAGGCCATAGGCCACTTTGGCAATGTGCCAGAAATTTACTTGGCATATTTTGGCCTTTGTGTTTTTGAAAAGCGCTCTGAAGAGATATGAGCTGCTGGTGGGTCACAGTGATTTACCTAAATGCTGGCCGTCCGTACTCGGCATATGCAAAAAACATCGGTGGAAAAGAAGAGAGAGAGTGTGCGTGTGTGTCCTCATAGCCTGACAGCTGTGCAATGTTGTGCAAGTACATTTGCCTAGAAACACTTGGCTTGCTGACAAGTTTGTTAAGATCAATGATCCTGTGTGCTGAGGCTTCATGTGCTGCATCGGTGAGAACTGCAAAGGCAGTGGTCCAGGAAGCTGGCCATTCAGTTTCACCAGCTCTGCGAAATCTAGCAAACAAATCAGAAGGTCATGCTGAGACAGCGTTTCACGCAACAGTTGCTGACCAGGGATTAGCCTTGGAGGTTCCATTGACTGAACTTCGTGTTGGTGGCACTGGACAGTCATTCCCTGTTCTCTTGTTGAGTGATTGGATCAAGCTCATATTGTACCTTGGAATCAAGAGTTTCAAGACCTTTAAAGCTTTCAATTTTGTGTGGATTTCATGGGTTGTTTGTTAATACGAATATATATTCTTTTGTTTCCTGCCATTCTTGAATGCTTAGGCGAACAGGAAATTGGAAAACGCTTGCTGCGGTTGAGGACCACAAGTCGGCACCTGCTCAGCTTCAGCTGTTTTGGGACAGGTTCAGACTCCTGAGGCCCAACCATGAAATATTTGAGCTTGAGAAGACTGGCGGGGTTGTCCTCGAGAGGACACTTCCTATGATGCTACATGGGGACGAGGGCAGATCCAAAAAAAGACAAGGTGTGCTGTGCATAAGTTGTCACAGCGTCTTAGGACGTGGAGTTCAAACGAGAAAAAAAAGGAATCTTGCAGCAATGCAGGAAACGCAGCAAATGAATTACACTGGGGCAACCCATTGTACAAGATTCCTGTTGTCCGTACTCCCGAAGTTCTACTACGACCAGACTGATAAAGCTTTCCACTCAATGGTTGACTTCATTACAAGGGACATCGGTAATCTGACAAAGAAGGGTGTTGCAGGACCAGATGGCCTGTCTTACTATGTGGCCATCATCTCAATCAAAGGCGATTGGCCTTTCCTTCACAAGGTTGGTGGTCTTCGCAGAAGCTTTTATAACCAGCCAAAGAGATCTGAGGCAAAGAAAGCATGTGTAGGGATTTGCCACTGGTGTCAGGCAGGACAGCCAGGAATTCCGTTTGAAGACTTGTCACCAAACTGCGAATGGCAGTTCACCCTTGGAGTTGAAACTCCTTGGGTGGAACAGCCCATCGTCCTCAAGAATCTATGTCATGACCGCTCTTTTCCTGAATCGTTCCTGCACCCAGACCCCTGGCATGGACATCACCTGGGTGAAGGGCGCAACTTTGTCTGTAACATCATGAGGTTACTTTTGGACATTACACCAGGACGAAACGTGGACATCAGACTTGACACCCTGTTCAACGAATACAGAAGTTTCTGTCAACGTGCTCACACCCAATGTTATTGCACCAAGTTTACGGAGAATCTGTTTGGAGTGAAGTCTCCCAATGACTTTCCCAATGGGTCGTGGACAAAAGGAAACTTTACAACTTCCCTGGTGAAATGGGTTGCTTCATTTTTGCAGTCAAAACGGAACATCTTTCATCCAGGGAGTTTGTTGGAGAAAGCTGTTACTTGGTCAACGTGCTAGATGTAAATTGTTCTTTTTGTGGTGGGAGGTAGGTGTTGGGGATCCCAAATATTGTGCAGTTGTGTGTGTATGTGTGTGTATACCTTTTATGTATCCAACAGTTTTGCACTTAGGCACAAGCTGCTATGGAAATTGACTTGTGCTATCGAAAAATGTATCTTGCACCGCTTTGGATTGATGCTGCTGAAGCTAAAGTGATAGCAGGGCATGGCCTGCAGTTTCTGGAAATTTACCAAGCACTGGCCACACAAGCTTCAAGAGAAGGACGTGCCCTATTTCTTTACAACAGCAAAATTCACATGAATGACCACATATTCAGAAACCTGGCATGGGAAGCTGAGATGGCCCCAGTGGCCCTGAATCCAATGACTTGGGGCGTACAGTTAGATGAAGATCTGATTGGAAAGGCTTCACGTCTGACTCGCCATGTTAGTTCAAAGCCAGCTTTCACAATCAAACGTACATTACAAAGGTGGTTGATCGCAAGTTTTGCAGCTTGGTCTAAAGCTGGAATGTTGGAGAGAATCTGAAGCTCGAGAAAAGATTGTGTTGAGATTGGAGGTGATCTGTGTGCAATTGTGTGTGTGTGCACGCATGTGATCCTTGCTGAATTAATCTTATAGTTTATGTTGAAACATGTTGAACTCACCATACTTCACAATAAGTATAAAACCTGGTTTTTACCTTTGATCCCAAGTTTGTCGGAACAACTTGGTGAACCTTGATTTTCTCAGGTCTCAGGCTTAGGGGGTATATATAAGTCATATATGATTCAAATTCAAACACCCAAGGTTTGCACCTTTGCGAGCTGCTGTGCTGGCAGCGCAGAAGATCAAGACGTCTCAGGCGTGGCAAGGGAAGCTACTGGGGGATGCCTTTTCTATCCTTTTCTCCTTTTGAAAACACTGTTTTCATCTGGAAATGATCCAAAACATGTAAGACTTCCAAAAGTTGGGATCATTTCGACTTCCAAAATTCAAGAATTCTTGGGTGCCTTCGATACCCCAAGCGATTGCCATGCCAGTTGCTATGTTTTTCCGCAGGATCTGGAAGCTCCTGGTGCCTGCCTGTCTTTGGGCTCCTTGTGGTTGGCTGCAGAAGATGTGTGGCTCTTCTATCATCAGGTGGAGATAGACGCTGCCGCGATTGGGTGGAGTTGGAGTCCTACAGCCAGTTGGCGATGTTGGAAATCTTTGCTTTGAGTCCAACGATTTATTGCAGATATGTTCACTCCTACATCTAACAGCATTTCCATTTTCTTGCGTAAACATGCACTAGTAGAGTCTGCAAGTGCATTTGGTGCAGGCACTATAGAAGTTCGAAGTTGCAGAGTGAGCAGATAGAATGCGAACTGACTCAGTATGGAGAGGAGTCAGGATTGAATCATATATCCTCTATGTCAGCACGCGGCAAGAGAAGAAGCACTTCGTTTGAAAGAAGGCACTACACTTGCACTAAACTATGATACTGGCTATAACACCTATCCTCTTACTCAGCCGTGATCAATCCTGAGTCCAATTTTCTGAACAGCGCTGCAAGCCTGTTGCTGACATGACTTGACCAAAGAGAACCGCAGAGAGGAAAAGGAACATGTCTTCGTGTCACTGACCTCTATGCAAGGTCAAGAGTTGTTCCCAACTGTTCCCAACTCTTATAGAGTTATATGGCGACCTGTTGTTGGACGGATTCCGAAGTGCACCCCTGCGAATATCGCCCACAAATAGCAGATGGTGGGCTCAAAACCATCGCACCGGACAGCAACAGCAGTTGTAGCCAACTTTGATCCATATTGATGCGTGTGAGTGTGAATATATCTACACATTTGTACATGCACATGCATATAGGACCCCATTCCCCCCACAAAAGATCGGTTGCCACATGCTGTGACACACCCGATCGAGGCCAAGACATTTACGTGTCGGGCTGAAGGGCAATCCACCCTTTCTGAATGAAGATGTCTTCAGTTTGGCCTGAGCCCCAAACAGCTGAGTTCAGATCGGTGTAGGCCAGCACTGCAGACCCCCTCCAGTCTGTCTCATTGTTTTTGAATGCAAAATGGCCAGCAATGGGGGTTAGGGCATTGCATGGTTTTACTCCATCCCATCTCAAATTGATATAGTTTGTCAATAGAGAAGTACCGGATCCAGTGACTATCATCACTTTCCCAGTTTTTGCCGACCCAGCTGGGCCTCGCCAGACCTGAAGCCGGCCGGCCGGACCCGAACCCCACGGCGAACTCGCCAGCAGACTAAATGGCGAGCTCGTTTGCTCTCTGGGCGCTGCCAGACACTATGCAGATAAAATGCCAGAATGTCAGAACAAACGTTAGGTGGAATGCCAGATCAAATAGAATGCCAGATAAAATGTCAGATAGAATGTCAGACAAAAGACAGATAGATTGCTAAATAGAATGCGGGATAGAATGTCAGATGAAATGTCAATGGAATACTAGATAATGCCAGGTAAAATGCCAAATAAAATGTCAGAATTTATGTCTGATAGAATGTCGGAATATGGCGGAATACGTCGGAATATATGTCACGGTCAGGATCACTGGAAGAAAGTCATTTAGACTTTAACGACCAGATTGGGGGGTAAATCAGTGTTGGCAGCCTTGGCAGCCTCAGCATGCACAAGGTCGAGACCGACAGCTCCTTCTGGATGATTGAGGAGCTGATTTGAAACTGTGCCGGTTGTCATGATCTATATATTTTGGTTCAAACATGTGGAGAAACTTGGTAAGGGGATGCTGGGGAGTGTGTTAGTCCGTGGGGCTGTATGTCGTCTGTTATGATTTTAGGCTGATGTATAGGGTATTTTCCTTGATTTTGATGTTTGACAAGGGGATGGTTCTAGTATCATTCTTGTGCGAACTTTCAATGGTTATGCTGACTGGATTAGTGCTATCAGAGTTTTTGCTAGATTCTTCAAGATTGGTTTGCAGCACTACAGTTTTACTTTGTGACATTCTCATCCTGTCGAAAGTTCTTTCTCTTCCGCACAAACGACGCTGCACTCGGCTGCCAAGAGTTGGATGAAGCCATACAACGTCATTGCGTTTCCACTGGCAGCCCGTCTTGGAACAGCTCTGGATAACAGGAACGGCGACTGCAATGCAGGATTTCAACAGGGACTTGCAGTACAGGTATGCAAGAGCTCAACAGGGCTTTGAAGAAAAGTTCGTGTGTTCGGAACTGGTATGCTGCTCGGTATGCTGCCTACTCTGCTCCGTCTGCTTCTGCATGCGCGAGGCTCAAGCCAGCCTGAGACACACCAAGGAGCAGCTGGCTCAACAACAGCTGATTGCTGTGAAGCTGGAAGAAAAGAACGAAGAAATCCGCCGCCACATGGAGACAATCAAGAACTTGCCCAGCGGTTGAAGCTCGTCATGCTGGAAAGATCTCAGCTGTGGCAATTCAGAAGTCCTCCATCCCATTGCAGAACTGGGCTCCTTTCAAGATCATGTTGCTCCTCTGCTGTTCAGCGCTTCAACCTAAAAAAGAAAGCAGGTAGAAATGCAACAAACACGTGACAACACACACACACACCAATGAAGCTTGCCGCGAGAGCGCCAGTTGCAAAAGGCTTCTGAAATTGATTTGATGTGTTTATTAGATTGTAGAGTGAGCAGCAAAATGAATATGCCCACGTGAAGGTGGTGTTTCTTTCTTCATGGTTCGGCTTGCTTTGCCAATTTTGCGATCATGTGGGGCTGTCTCAAACATGGAACCACAAAATAGAATGCTTAATCATTCTATTTTCATCTATTTTCCACTTACATACAATTTCCTAGGCAAAGGCCATTGTGTTAAAAAAACCATATCTAAGTTCCACTATATCCCCAATCTGACTTTATTCCAGTGATATACCCCTATCATTCTATGGTTGTTAGTTCTTGTAATATATTCTAATATGCATAGATATGGGCGATAGAAATACGTATATTTCTAGAGTATGATTTGCTGGGGGTGTATTACTCATAGAATTGGATGATGGGAAAATTTTAACCGGAAAGCCCGATCAATTTGATATATTTGATGGTAAAAACCCATGGGTTTTCCGGTTCAGATTTTCCCAACAAAACCAATCCAGTGGAGCTTTTCCAGGATGGAGAGCTCCACATCCAGTTGCAGAAGGTGCATAAGGCCGGCTGGTGTTTTTAGTCCCGAAAATAGAGGTCTAATGGGAGAATCATCAACGGTGGATATCTTCATTGCCATGTTTGCATTGCCGATATGTAGTATGATTTCCGAATGTATATAGAATAGATGTGGGGTATATATATTTATACACATCAGATTAACAGAAGTTTGAAAACTGCAATGCACATCCCGTTGATTAAAATCCATACACCCATCCACCCATGCTCAGTTCCACAGTTTGAAATGGCAGATCATTTGAGCAAGAAAATCGGGAACTTCCACACGTTGTGGTTGTAAATGAGCCGCTGAGCGGATGCACTTCATTTCTTAGAAACAGTGGGAATAGGTAGCCAAACTTTCACACGGGAGTGAAACTCTACAACATTCAATATATATGATTATATATATAATATAAATTATATATTCAATTATATATAATATAAGTTACATATATATATAATATAAATTATATATACTATATTATATTATATTATATTATATTATACTATATTATATTATATTTTATTATGTTATATTATATATACACGATTTGAATGACTGCAACCAGCCAAAATGGAGGCCAGGACACCCCACAATTTTGGCCAACAGATGGTGATAAGACGAAATCCTGGATTTGGTTGTCGTGGACCCAAGTTGGGACCGAAAGCACAGCAGAACCGCACCAATGGACCAAGATCTTGGGTTCGCAGGACCAGCCGCATTGGCAAAAGGCTTACACCGGCGTAGGTTCAACCCCAGGTGACATTGAGCTATATTCAGATGAGCGCTCAAATCTTAAACCATTTCTGTTTTCCTTTGGATTGAGCTCCTAAGTCTAGTGCGTTCCGTTCGTAGATGATTCTCCCATTTGAATGCCCATTTCGTTCGGGATTTCCCACCAACCATGTTTGACGACCCCGAAGGGTATACAGTTATACGTTGATCGGGCCCGTTTGGATTCCATTGGGTGACACGAACTATTCGACACTAGGAGCTGCACCGGCAAAATCATGCCTCTTTTGCATGGGAAAGAGCGAGGATTCTGAGACTTGCCATAGTTGCTAAGTACTTTCCAGGTGCAAAGAACATTCCAATCCACTTGTTGGAGGTGTATTTCTTGGGGGCATCCCGGACGGAAAGACCCGACCCCACCAGGGCGAGACGTGGCATGCTGCACTCAAAGGCTCCCGCTGGGAGAGGTTTTGGTTGGCAAAGGTCGGTTGCAACCCCGAGATGATGGTGATTTTCAGACAGCATCTGAATATGCAAGAAGTGAGCATCCCGCCAAAATCATGTTCCGGTGCTTTCCATCTTTCCATGGAATTGGTCATATGGAGTGTCACTCCAGCTTCATCAGGTTCAGCAGGTGCAGTTGGTGGATTCCTCACCTTCATTTGACACAGTCAGATAATCCCTTACTTCACTTGCAATACCGCCTTATAAACGTACAAAAAAAAGCTGGTATTTCGCGTTGGATCAGTTGGATCATGTTGAATCTATTCATTTTGCCCCTATGTCCTATGGCCTATGGCAACATGGAATTGGTGCAGGTCATGGGCAGCTGGATATGTTCAGCGAACAGGAGGTGAACAAGAAACTGATGCTGGAGAGATTCCAGGAGCTGAGAGATGGAGTGGCGATCCAAAGCTCCCAGATGTCCAAACCTCCCATTGATGGAAAAAGACGGTAAAACCGGAAAAAAAACACGGCTCAACCATAGTTCAACCATGTTCAACTGTGACAAAACATGTCCCTGTCCTGTACCTCTACAGTTGCTACAGGCCCAAATGATGGTGACATATAGTGACGTGACTGTGGTCACATTGGTCACATTGGTCACCATCATTTTCTTTCCATCCCATGATGTGTTTCAAGGAGGAACATCCCGGATTCGACTTCTCCGGTGCCAGTTTCAGTGGACAGGCACCTTCTGTCTGGACCTCAGGGCAGGGATGATGAATATGTGGGATGAAGTTACAAGTAGGATGCACCTTTACAATCCTTTACATACCTTTACATACAACAATTTTTGGGTTCTAGAGTTCTGGCCCCACAGTGATTCTGGCAGTTTTGAGTTTTGATGATCGTTTATTCTTTTTTGAAGCTTGAATACACAGCTTTGAAAATCAGATGATCCCACAGGTCTTGGAATATTAGGGGGATCAAAACTTTCAACTCTCCAACTTGGGATGCATGACATATATGGGTCTTAGTACTAAAGTCATCCCAACATTGGGATTCATGATTTTCCTTTTTTTAAGTGTTTACTTTAGTAACTTTAGAATTTTTTGAACCAATCAGATAGGTAGGTCCAATGGCTCCCCAAGTGACCTGACCCCTGCTATGCGTATGGCTCTCCAGTCAGGCTAGAACCTTCATGGGTGGCATCCACGCGGATCCACAGTCGAGGTAGCGACTGTCGACCAACGCCGATGAGAAAAACACGCGGTCAGGGGAAGCACTGGGGGATGGGAAAGCAACCGGCTGGAGCAACGAAAATATGGAAAACATGGATGTCTTATTCTAGTTCGGAGTGTGTAGACGTTCTTGATCCTCCAAGTCACGAATGTGTTTGTTTTTCTTGTTTTTCTTTTAGTTTCCTGCTGCCCTTGCAACGCCACAAGCTGAGGGTTGCAACGCCACAAGCAGAGGGCTAGCCTACCTGACAGATTTTTGATATTTGCATGGAATATATTGTGATGCAATGACTTTACCTGTGCCAAACGTCTGTGGAGTGAAACGGACCAGGGCTCTTGCTGGGACAGTCAACCCTCGGACATACGGATCGTTGGGTTGTACCAAGAATGTTAGCGAAGACAATTAGAGCAGTGGCTGCTACACCTCGGCTGGTTGATGATTAGTTCGGGGATAATACTAATTCTTAACATATAATATATAATAGGGAATATCAGAATCCTTGGGGAATCCCGTTCTCAACCAACCATTTTTTTTGGCTCAAAGCTCTTGACTCATTGCTAACCTTCACAAGGTTGATATTTTCGAAGGCCCGGGCTGCGGCCTTGGGAGGATGACTCTCTGACCCAACCTGACGATGGTCATTTTCCAATGCAATTTTTGATTTCTCGACAACGATGCAGGATTTTCCCTGTCCAAATATGAAATAAAGTGCTCTTTCTAGATGACAAGTTCTCAGGGAGATTCAATAAGCCTTACTTGGACTGTGTACAGATTACATAGAAGTCAGGAGCCATGAGGAATCAGCCAGTCCCCGAATTTAGGTCCCGTTTGGACTGAGGCGAAATCCATGCCGACTCGTTTTTGTTGGAATTTCAGTGGTCAAACGCCATTTTTGCCATGGTTCTTGACTAGGCGACCACATGATTGCCAAGCCACATGGCTTCACAGAGATGTTCGGAATCATTTCCAGTCCGATCCGATCTGATGCTACCCTATCCTAACCTATCTACCTATCTACCAATCTACCTATCTACCTATCTATCTAACCTGTCTATCTACATTGTCTACATATCTACATGTGGTGGGTTTAGTTTTTCTATCTTCGAGAATTGGGTTGATCCCCTTGACCGCGATCTTCTTTTGGCCTCAATGGGCTTGACCCATCTCTGGTGGAACTTTGCTACCCAGGCCATGAATGAGATCCCCAAGAAATTTTGAGATATCACATGATATCACCAAGTGAATTTTCCATAGCCAGCATGTTGAGCCTACCGACTTCGACACGTATCTAATCTACCCAACAACTTTGTAGATTGACCAGATATACATTCTGGTAATTTAATATCACCATGGAACATGACCCATGTATGCATGTTTCTATTATATCCATGGCGATTTTCCATATGTTAGATTACCAAAAGGTACGCTTGGCAAAGTTGCTCTTGTTAAGCAATGGACACTTGAAGACTTGACCAGTGATAGGAGCAACGGTAGAGCAAGATATCTTTTTTTGGGAGCTGTGAGATGCTGCACGTTCCAGGCCTGCGGCGTTTCAAGCGTTTTAAAGAATATAGAAGATCCTTAGAATTCTCACTGGTGCAGGGAAACAGCGAATTCCAGGAATTTAGGACCAACATTTTTTGTGCGGGGGATGTTTTTTTGAATCCATATAGTTCCCAACAGCAGTGACTGTTAGGTTTCAATCTCTGGCTCTGGGAGTAGTGCGCCGTTTCTTGCCACGCCCAAAAACCGGAACGGATTTCTGGAATTTTGGAACCAAAGCGAGGCTAATGATGATTTCTTGTTAGTGTGCTTTGAGAACGGCCTAAAAATAAACGGGATGGACACTTCTGTAACGTCATCAACACCCAAACGCGACACCACAAGTCATGGGGTCACAAACTCTTGGGGCAAGCTGACATGGACGTTGTGGGGACCTAACCTACACAATGAAGGGAAACTTATGTCTACTGGAAAAGGGGTTGCCGACTTTCTCGTAAACGACTCAAGACAAAGCGGAGCATTTTCATGACACCATCACTTTGAGCAGAAAAAGGACGCAGTCAACTCCACGGCACTTGCCCCCAAGCACAGAGAACTCAGAACATTTGACTTCAGTCAGCCTTCCAAACAAAAGCATTTGGCATCAGACCAGACTCAAGCTTCCAAGAAAGAAACACAGAATATGGGTTTGTCTGAAAATTGGTTCCCCCATTCCATTCACTGGTAAATCAGCATTTTCCCATTAAACATAGCAACTTTCTGGGGGTCCATCCCTCATTTTCAAACATAGCCACATTATATTGTCGGTTATACATCCACATATATCCACATTAAATCCCATTCAATTCAGTTCAACTCAATTCATATATATATATAATTATAATATATATACATATAATTATAACATATATATATATATATATACGTACACATAAATATCCCAATATATCTCCCACCCCATTCAAGTTGCTTAGAACTTTCCCATTTTCAGCTTGCAGTTGCCTCAGTTGCCCCATGCTGCGCCTTGCGTCTCTCCTCACTGTGCTTCCGATCGCCGCGGTCGAGACGGTGGGGTCGCTGACCCTAGAGGAAGCGGAGGATTTGAAGGCGAATCAGACGAGGTGCCGGGGAAATCATCGTTGGGAATCCCCGAAAAGAACGGAAAAGTGAAATTTGTGTTCATTAAAATCATTAAACTAGTTCTTAGTTGGAAATTGCGTTTCTATCTTTTGTAGGATTTATATATATATATATATCTACATACATACATATATAATATCATATAATATAGTATAATATAATATTATTTAATATAATATAATATAATATAATCTAATCTAATCCGTGCGGGGGGTTAACAGGACGGTATTTTCACCCTTGAAAGCCACAATCCCTTGTGCCTGCCAGCGAAAATCGCCGTTTGAAAGGCTTAAAAAAATGTTCAAAATCATGACAGATTTTTGGTTCTTTAATCGCGTTTTACCACAGTTTTGGAACCCTTTGTCGGTCAACTTCACTTTTTACCCTCACATGGTCACTTGTTTTTGCAGTTGCCTGGTCGCTCTCAGCACGCAGTCTCTGTGCCTTGAACGCCACTGCCGCATGTAGGCCATCAAATCTTTGTTGATCTTGCTTTTCTTTGATCAATGCTCGGTGGAATCATGTGGAATCTTATCTTTGATTTTCTTCCGTGTGCAATCAATTCCACCTGTGTGCGCCCACAAGGCTGGCTTTTGGCCTCGTTGCAAGTGCAAGAGAAGACGTTGTTATCGTAGCATCAAGATAGTTAGCAAGAACAAGAGAAGATGTTGTTAACATAGCATCAAGATAGTTAGCAAGTGCAAGAGAAGAGCCTGTTAACATAGCATCAAGATAGTTGACAAGAACAAGAGAAGATCTTGTTAATGTAGCATCAAGATAGTTAACAAGAACAAGAGAAGATGTTGTTATCGTAGCATCAAGATAGTTAGCAAGAACAAGAGAAGATGTTGTTAACATAGCATCAAGATAGTTAGCAAGTGCAAGAGAAGAGCCTGTTAACATAGCATCAAGATAGTTGACAAGAACAAGAGAAGATCTTGTTAATGTAGCATCAAGATAGTTAACAAGAACAAGAGAAGATGTTGTTATCGTAGCATCAAGATAGTTAGCAAGAACAAGAGAAGATGTTGTTAACATAGCATCAAGATAGTTAGCAAGTGCAAGAGAAGAGCCTGTTAACATAGCATCAAGATAGTTGACAAGAACAAGAGAAGATCTTGTTAATGTAGCATCAAGATAGTTAACAAGAACAAGAGAAGATGTTGTTATCGTAGCATCAAGATAGTTAGCAAGAACAAGAGAAGATGTTGTTAACATAGCATCAAGATAGTTAGCAAGTGCAAGAGAAGAGCCTGTTAACATAGCATCAAGATAGTTGACAAGAACAAGAGAAGATCTTGTTAATGTAGCATCAAGATAGTTAACAAGAACAAGAGAATATGTCGTTATCGTAGCATCAAGATAGTTAACAAGTGCAAGAGAAGATCTTGTTAACGAAGCATCAATATAGTTAGCAAGTGCAAGAGAAGAGCCTGTTAACATCTGTTAACGTAGCATTCAGATAGTTATCAAGTGCAAGAGAAGATCTTGTTGACGTAGCATCAAGATAGTTAACAAGTGCAAGAGAAGATCTTGTTAACGTAGCATCAAGGAAAGTGCAAGAGAAAATCCTGTCAGTAGCCTCAAGATAGTTAACAAGAACAAGAGAAGATCCTCATAACATAGCATCAAGATAGGTAATATATGCAAGAGAAGATCCTGTTAACATAGCATCAAGATAGGTAATATATGCAAGAGAAGATCCTCATAACATAGCATCAAGATAGGTAATATATGCAAGAGAAGATCCTGTTAACATAGCATCAATATAGGTAATATATGCAAGAGAAGATCCTGTTAACATAGCATCAAGATAGGGAATAATATGCAAGAGAAGGTCTTGTTAACATAGCTGAATATGAAAGTTACTAGCCGACCCGCTCCCCCACCCCCCCCACCAAAATCAAAGAAACATATTGGCCTGTTCCCCCCGCCAGCAAAAATATGATGTGGGGACAATTTATTGTGGAATACTTTATCGGATACTTTAGGGGATGTAAACAATGTAAAGGAATCTTAGCAAGATCTATAAGCAGCAATACGTGATCTGATTGTCTAAAAACGGGGCATTCACACCGAATAAATTATGGCAACTTTAAAGGGAAATCACTAGTTTTGAATCCTTGCAGTTCAAGGTACCCCATTTTCACACCCACTTGAACCATATTTAGTTCTGCAGCTGTATGCAGTAACCTGTCTTAGTGAGGGCCTTCTACGCAAGGTCACTAACCACTTACGAAGTGGAACATCCAAGTAGACCTGGGAAAAATCGTGAATGGCTGGTAAAGATGGAGGATTCTTTATGGTTTATATGATATATGTTTTTATAGCCATTAAAGGAGGAAATTGTCATATCACGCTAAGAATTGTTTTTCTTTCCAGGGTGTTGAAGGATTCTCTAAATGAAAGTCAAAACTGTGAATCAGAATCCGACTTTGGGAACTTTGGGAAGGGAATGCACCTTGCCATATCCCTGGCGATTTCTAGGCTATGTGATCGGCAACGGGTGGTGAAGGATGTCCGAATGTCTAGAAGAGCCCTGTGGCGTCGTGCGGATACAGTTGCTGCTGGCTATCCTCTGCATTTACAGCAATATGTCAGGCTGTTGGCTCTGTCCTTGACTGGTTCACTGGATCTCGCGCCAAAATATCCTTGGATCAACTCCAAAAGATTTTGTGGACTTGATTGGCCAGTGGAAAGGGGCTTCACCATGAGAGGTTTGGTGAGGTTGAAGCTTGGTGTTCTAAAATCAATGTTTTTGTGAGTCTTGGTAGCCTCAAGTTTTCAAGGGTGGTCTGCATGTTGACATGGGAGTGTGATCTTGCAACATTTCAACAAAATGCAACAACCATAGCATAGCATTTCTTCGGAAATTCCACCATTCCAGGAAAAATACGGCAGAAGTGCTCCTTTCGGTGGTGTCTGAGAAGATTCCAGGCGATTTTGTCGAAGTCGGCCTTTGGCGTGGAGGCGTCTCGATTTTTGCAAAGGGCATTCTGAATGAGTTGGAAAGGAAAGGCTCAAGATCCTTCCACTTATTTGATGTCTTCAATGAGCAGATTCCACTGGAGGAACCTGGAGCAAGAAAATTCTATGCAGAGACGCGACCCCGGCATATCGTGGATTATTTCAACATGTTTGGAGTGGGCTATCAAAGTTTGTACACTCACAAGGGTCTGCTCAACCAGTCCCTGCCGCAGTTTTATCAGAAGCACAGCAAATCTGGGATGAGCATCTCGGTCTTGTGCATAGATGTTAAATGGTATGATGCAAACCAAGATGCCTTGTACTATCTCTACGGCTTTGTTCCCGTGGGTGGCTACGTTGTTTTCAGCTCTTACAAGGCGTCTCAGGGGGAGAGGGCCTGGGCCGACTTCAAAGCTGACCAAGGCTTGAGCGAAGATGTGCTGTTGAGCGATTCAGTGGGAGGATACTTCAAGAAGACAAATGAGCTCCAGATCGACCAGATCGACTTCAACAGGATGCGAGCGCCAAGGGACTGCAACCTGTAAGGCCGAGAAGCAACGGTAGACAAAGCAGCTGCCGCGAAATGTGATCAGAACAGGGAAGATGCGGAAAGAGAGAACGTGCTGTGCTTCAAGGAAAATGAGTGAAGCCTTCGGCTTTAAGAATGAACGTCCCAATTTCAAATTAATTACATACTGGAATCAAACATGCATTTCCGATTTTGACTAGAATCGAGTACTGCCACCTGGGCTTTAATGCGGGATTCGGCTGTCCAAAAATCGGGGGCCCCCAAATCACTAGGAAAACATGGGGAAACTGATGCACTTCTGAACTGTTTCCAAAAATGAAATTGTCATTTCTGAGTATCAATTGAAGGACAAAAACAGAGGTGCACAACCCTGAGTTCAGAAAGCCTCTTGTCAGACATCAGATCAATCTGGAAATGGGTCTGCGCAAAGTGGTTTCCACTTGGATGGGAGACACGAACTGATGGATTTTGTAGGTTTCCTATCTTCTTTCCCCCAAGATACATGCCCACATTGCAATTCATGCTGTGTTCCTTTTTCCGGAGGCAGCATGGCAGCTGAAACTGCACCAGGTGCCCAAGTTGCGGACGGAATTCCGACGGATGGATTGTGATGGCTACCGGCTACAGCCTACAGCTATATACCCTATATAGTAGAGCAACCCATCAAAACAGGGATGGATCAATTCTTTTGAGATCATTTTTGTTGGGCTGTTGGCCATGGTTGTAGGGTGCTGACCCTCAAGTAAGTTCATCGCAAGGCAATTTGAGAATCAAATGACCTGCCAGGGAACCTTGCAACGACTAAGTGCGATTTTGCAGGTTTCAGAACAGGCTGAAACAGAAGGTTTGTGGGTCAAATCAGGTACACACCCTAAATTTCACTGGACATTGCCATTTCATGCCATTTCGGAGTACTCGTTTGACAAACGTTTGACGTTTTGAATGACCAATTCCCAGGGTGGGAGGGACCCTCCGGAGGCTGGTGGCCGAGTCTCGTGTTTTGCGAGTCTGGTGCGCACACGCCGTGACAAAAAACAGGTCGATCTGGGTCAAGTCACCGGGTAACACCGAAATTGCCCAATGGAATACATTAAATTATATACATTAATATTAGTTAAAATATAGATAATACACAAGAATAAGAACATATTCTGAAAAAATGGTGATCCTATTTGAGCCTTGCATTTGACTCAGAAATCGGTAGAAATCGGTAGGCATTTTGTCATGGTGCTTTTTGCACCAGAGGTCTAATAAGGCTTCTATACCTCCATCTCGCTCTGTTCCAAATGGTGTTCAATCATCAATGTGTATACGTCTGCTGCAAGAGCATCTCAGTGGTTCTACCTCCCTTGTCAAGGGTTTCAGGTTGGTTACGTCCATGTACTGGAAATGAAGGCCAAATATCATTTGCTGAGCTACAGTAACATTTTCATTGATCTCTGGCTTTGGCCATTTGTTGGTGTGTTACTTCTAAAGCATCCAACATTGGCAGAGTCGATAGGACTTAAAGCTGCAATCTCTCTTTTTGTCTTTTTTACAGATGCTTGAGCCTGCCTCTCCTAGAGAAGTGAGTTTGTCCGCGACACCATGTCAGCTCAATTACAGTACATAGCATTCCATCACATTTCTCACAGCGGTGAAAGTGCCGCGTGCAGGGAGCCAAGCCTATCCTAAGCCTTTCCAGCCAGAAACAGTCGATTTTTTGAACCAAATTTGACAAGATGAATCCAAGATGAACAAACACATGAAAAGCACTGGTCATCAATTCAGAGTTGCCAAGTTTTCTCAGAACGTCTTCAGCGTCGCCTGGGGCCACAGATCGCCATGGTGGTGAGCACGTTGCTGAGCGATGACACCGCCCTTGGCTGAGACGTTGCTATCGCATCCAGTTCCAAGGACTTTTGAAGATGGCAAACTCACCTTCCATCGTCTCATGGCAGAATTGAGGCGTTGGTGACTTTACACCGTGTCGTTTGACTGGGTTTGATTTCATAGGGGGGAATCTTTATTTCTAAAGAATATAGGGGTGTTGGGGAGTCGAAGGAAAGGATTGTGCTCGACTCTTTTTTTTGCACCACACCCCACGGGATCAAAGAGTGGTTCAAAAGCATGGTCAGTCCCCAAATTTGTGGTTAATCCCGCATGTACTTGATCGGGCTTATCGCGTTTTACCGCCTTCAGTGTTCGCATCGAAATACATAGCTGATAGTTATTATGGATGTTCATCCCTCCCATTCAGATGCTAAAACACACAGGTATCGCCAGTGACCCATCCACATGTAGGTTAAATGTCCCATCTTTTGTTGGTTAAAACTTAAAACCCGTATTCGTTTCCCAACTTTTTACTGACCAAATCACATTTTTCACGGTTTGCTGGTTAAATACAAGTTTTGATGGGAACATGCTTTAAAACCCCATTCTTTTTGGTTGAGATCAGTGAACTCCCTATTTTAGCTGGTCAAATCGCTCTTTTTCTGGCAGACTTCCCAATTCTTCGGTGGGTCCCTAGTTTTTTGTTGGGTCCCCTGGGGGTTTTTCTGGGTCCCCTGGGTGCCAGGTTCCCCCTCAGAGCTCCAGCGCGCCGCGGCGCGGCGCGACAAACGCGGCGCCAGTCGCGGGTTGCTGGGGAAGACTTCGCTGCCCAGCGAGGAGACGCCGACGCCGAATCCGGTGAAACCGATGCGCTCGCAGTCTGCGCCCTCGGTGGTGTGGCATAGGGAACCACCGTGACTTGGAAGGAAAAAGGGGGAACATGGGGGACCATTTTTGCAGGATTTTCTATGGATTCTGAGGATTTAGGAGGTTGATTCAGGAGGATGGATTGTGGAAGGGTTCCGTTGATGGATTTTGGATGGTTTTTTGGAAAGATTTTGTGACGGTTTAGATATTTTTTTTGGCCCGGTTGGTTCGTTCATAGAGAGGTCGCCCCGGTTGAACAATTGATAGATCGATGTCGATGATGATGATGATGATGATGATGATTGTTTTTGCGACATATGGGATTTTGTTGAAGCAGTCTTTTTTGAGGTCGGGACATGGGGACACCTGATATCTCAGAATGCCAGTTTCAACGGGCCATGGGAATTTGGGGGTTCCCAATTTGAGACTATGCCGTATCATATGGTCGACTGTATATCCAGTTATATCTCGGTCAATTCCCATAAAACTGTTGCTTAACACCTTCATGAATACAACTTTGCCGGTGAAATCATTATTTTCTGGGCATTTGTAGATCATTTTGCCTCAACAATGGCCATATTTCTTGGGGTGAAACCACCACTTTGATTGATTTTCATCCAAATTGCTGGTTCAACAGCAATCTTTGCTGGTCCAATTTTCATGATTGTTGGTCAATCCACCCATGTCAGGCCAGAGAAGCAGCCGGAGAATCCCCGGCGCCTCAACTCGGCACCCCAGAAACGGGGCACGAAAAGCTCCAGTGACCTGGTGCCCTTGCTGCAAGATGCTGCAAGGGGGGCGGGAAGGGATGACCAATTTTTGGACCTATTCTGGCCATCATTTTTAGGACATCCTACTGATTTTAGTTGGACACCATCGAAGCTAGGATCATTTTTCGCCCTTTTTTTCACCCCCAAAGGCGCTGCACGGATCATCGTCCCACCAGGGAATGTGCTGTACAGGAGATTTAAGAGCCAGGCTTCATCCAGGTTGTCTGCGGCTGGGCTTCATCCATGCTGACTAAGCACATATATCAACTGGTATGGTATCAACTGGCCAATGGGACCTAATTAGTCATGAAGAATCCTTCTTTTTTTTGTTTGTTTTTCATGGGAATGATATGTCATTTGTTACAGAGATATGGGTAATGCTGGGATATTTGATCCGAACATCATTAAATACCATGCTATTACATGGAAAAAAGCAACATGCTATCCTACTTGGTGGCTCATCCCAGTTACTAAGTAGGTTAGTTCACCCTAGTCAAAAGTGGATTATCTCCTATCCGAAAAAAAACAGGGATATGATATAACCTACTTAGGATCCATTAACTCCTATCCCACTGAAAAAAACAGGGATTCGTGGGATGAACTACCAGCCGTATGCGAAGCCATTTTTTCGCAGCCACTGATCTTGAGATCGAAGTGCAGCCCCTGAGCGCTACAGAGCTGACTCACCTGGGCCGCATCTTGCAAGGGCAGTTTGGACAGCTGGAGGCGAAGCGAGGAAACGACCAGAATATAACCATGGTTAATAAGGGTTGATAGTGGTTGATAATGGCTGTTAATTAATGTGGTAAAACCAATATCATAAACCTAGAAAATTTGGGGATGGTAAACATAGAAGCCATAAAGATTGTGATTACTTGGGTGGGGATGGTTTTTGGCATTCGGTTTACCACTTTACTTTACTGGTTTATTAGTGATTGAGCCATTTTGCTTTAAAGGGCCCGCGGCCCCTAAACTTTTATGATAGGCAAACAAAAGTAGAGGCTGGGCATTCTAATTTTGTTGGAATTCCACTGGGAAAGCCAGATCCTTGACAATGTCCACATAATGTGGCAAACCTGCCGTAAACCTCATTGTTTTGGGGATGCGATGCTTGAATTTCCATCCATTTCTGGATCATTCGGATCGTTTTTGGCCGGTTCACCTGCAAGGTTCCTAGAACCCATTTGTTCTAGGTTCTCCAATTGTAATGCTCGCAGATTCCTACATGTTGGGTTTGCCACAGAAGTGTAAATCATTTCCAATCACCAACCAGAGGACGGGGGCTATGACAAAACATCCCAAGTAGGGGTGTACCCCCAAGTGCGCAAATCACAATTTGGGAGATGGTCATGGTTCATGGTTTGGGGTTTACTATAGTAAGTCCACCACCACCTACCCTCCAATAAAGTAACATAGGTATGGAAAGTCATCATTTTCATTAGGCACATCATCTCTAATGGGCCATAGCTGCCATAGCTATGCAAATTGCCAGAGGGTAACTCTCATTCCATCCCCATGATAGCTGGGTATCCCCATTAAATCTTCTCAAAAATCTCCATTAAATTGATCATTGGGTAGGTCCACGACCACCTATAGTCATCCGTGAAAGGATGTGAAAAGTATTTCCGGGATGCTAGTTCGAAAATCGGTTTTCTTCATATTTTGCCAAGTTTCCAACCTTTTTTTGACATCGTTCCTGCATCGCGCTGACAGACCGAAGTCAACTTGTGTCCGCCTACCCCGGCGCACGGGAACAGGACCGGCACCAGAAAGGGGTCATCAAACGTGACTTTGAAAATCCCCATCAATGGAGGTTTTCATCGGAAAATCAGCTATAAGTATTATAAATGGTGGATCATCCAGGCACTGGAAAAATGCTCCAGCATGGTCCAGCAGTTCTAGATCACGCCATAGTTGTTTTCGTGCTTGGAAAGGTGTAGTGACACGGCATGTGCGGCTTCACGATTTTGACCCATAAACATAGCCCCCAAGCACCAATAGTAACCACCAGAAGTGTTACTTTTGCGACTGCTTTATCAATTACCCGCCACGGTTGTCAACTCCAGGGCTTTCCCAATGTCAGGACGCCTCCACCAGATTTCGTGGATTTGGCTTCAGCGCAAGAAAAGAAACAGGCGCGCCCATTGCATGGCGGGCCATGTCTTCCAGACTCTTCAAAGCGCCGCTTGAATGCCGAATTTATGGCTATTTCAATGGAGAACATGGTTTTTTCATGATTTGATAGGTTACACCATAGTTTCGGACGCCCAAATGACCCCAAATTTTGAGCTATTTTGGATGCTTGGGCCGCCAGTGAATGGTCAAAACGATTTCAAAACGTGAATGCAATCGGGGATGAATGGGACGTGTTAGGAGATGTCCTAGAATTTCCTGATTGTACACCCAGAATATCAGGCTATTCTCAGTTTCTGTTTTCTTGGGATACGTGAACTATCTCCCAACTATCACAGATGGTGGTTACCTTCTGGTAATCAAACGTGGCCATGACTTAAAGGACCGGATAACCCCACATGTCAACTTCTTCGAATAAGTAACCAAAAAGAGGTGAAGACGGAATGGGAAAGGCAGGACAAAGATATGAGATGGTGAAAGATATATATATTTAAGGGCTGCCGCCCCTGCCGCCGACCCCGGAGAAAAAAAAGAGGTTTGCGCTGTGTTTTCACACAGCTCAAGTTGGTGGCTTTTCCATAGCCATGATACGAGAGGAGAGATAGAGAGAGAGAGATATATATATATATATAAATATAGTTAAATTTCACCAGAGCGAGGCAATATATTTTGGATGTTTTTTTAATGTTTGTTTATGTTGCATTCTGACATAGTGTTGCTGGACAGTCAGGCTTGTGCTTGAGGATTTTTCATTTGGGATCTCAAATGACTGAAATTTTCAGGGGCTGACAACACCAGGTCACAAAAAGCCATGGAACGGCTAGGGTCGACATTGTCATTTTTAATGTGCAGGTAAACATCGGCATTCGACATCGAGGATGTTAGATAGATAGATAGATAGATAGATAGAAAGATAGATAGATAGATAGATGGTCTGCAGGCTTGCTAGATTCGATAGATGGATAGATAGAGATAGATCGATCGATCGATAGATAGATGGAGATAGATAGATAGATCGATCGATAGATAGATAGGTCGATAGATAGATAGATAGATTGATAGATAGATAGATAGATAGTTAGATAGATAGATAGATAGCTAGATAGTTTGATAGATAGGCAGGTAGTGGCAGGTAATGGTAGGTAGGTAGATGGATAGATAGAATCATAGATCTGTGTATATTTAATAGATATATATATATATATTCATATATATATATTCATATATATATATTCATATATATATATATTCATATATTATATATATATATATTCATATTATATATATATTCATATATATATATGTGTGTGTTTCATTGTCAGTGTGCATCTGTCTATGTCTCTGTCTTTTTGTTCCAGGCTGACTCACATTGTACCATATCCTCCATATCGATCCATATCTATCCACATTCCCAAATGGTGAGGGCGGGCTGCATCCTTCTTGGTTCCAGCCTGGCAGCATATATCGCTGTATATGTATTAGGTTACGATATATGACTACAATCCAATAGTTTTCGACCATTTTTTGTACCGCTGTTTGTACAATTAGACATAGTGAGACATAGAACCCTCCTGCTGCTCCTGTTGCTGCTGCTGCTCTTCCTCCCGAAGCTGAAAACGCACGCTGCCGGACAGGGAAACACAGTGGCCCTGAAGGACGGAACAGCGCCAAAATCGAGCCTAAAAACTGCCTAACGTCCCTTCTGAAACCCTAGAAAAACAATAGTTTTCGACCATCTTTTGTACCGCTGTTTGTACAATGAGACATAGTGAGACATAGAACCCTCCTGCTGCTCCGGTTGCTGCTGCTGCTCTTCCTCCCGAAGCTGAAAACGCACGCTGCCGGACAGGGAAACACAGTGGCCCTGAAGGACGGAACAGCGCCAAAATCGAGCCCAAAAACTGCCTAACGTCCCTTCTGAGACCCTAGAAAAACAATAACACAATAGTTTTCGACCAGTTTTTGTACCGCTGTTTGCACAATGAGACATAGTGAGACATAGAACCCTCCTGCTGCTCCTGTTGCTGCTGCTGCTCTTCCTCCCGAAGCTGAAAAAGCACGCTGCCGGACAGGGAAACACAGTGGCCCCCGCCAAAATCGAGCCCAAAAACTGCCTAACGTCCCTTCTGAAACCCTTGAAAAACAATAGTTTTCGACCATTTTTTGTACCGCTGTTTGTACAATGAGACATAGTGAGACATAGAACCCTCCTGCTGCTCCTGTTGCTGCTGCTGCTGCTCTTCCTCCCGAAGCTGAAAACGCACGCTGCCGGACAGGGAAACACAGTGGCCCTGAAGGACGGAACGGCGCCAAAAGCGAGCCCAAAAACTGCCTAACGTCCCTTCTGAAACCCTAGGAAAACAATAGTTTTCGACAATTTTTTGTACCGCTGTTTGTACAATGAGACATAGTGAGACATAGAACCCTCCTGCTGCTTCTGTTGCTGCTGCTGCTCTTCCTCCCGAAGCTGAGAACGCACGCTGCCGGACAGGGAAACACAGTGGCCCTGAAGGACGGAACAGCGCCAAAATCGAGCCCAAAAACTGCTTAACGTCCCTTCTGAAACCCTAGAAAAACAATAGTTTTCGACCAGTTTTTGTACCGCTGTTTGCACAATGAGACATAGTGAGACATAGAACCCTCCTGCTGCTCCTGTTGCTGCTGCTGCTCTTCCTCCCGAAGCTGAGAACGGACGCTGCCGGACAGGGAAACACAGTGGCCCTGAAGGACGGAACAGCGCCAAAATCGAGCCCAAAAACTGCCTAACGTCCCTCTGAAACCCTAGAAAAACAATAGTTTTCGACAATTTTTTGTACCGCTGTTTGTACAATGAAACATAGTGAGACATAGAACCCTCCTGCTGCTCCTGTTGCTGCTGCTGCTCTTCCTCCCGAAGGGGGGGGGGGCTGGGAGGGGTAGGAAGGGGGGGTAGGAGACGGAGAAGAAAAAAAAAGAACGGACACAGAGATAGGGGGGGGGGGGGGGCGAATACTTAGAGCCGGAACGCTGCCGTACAGGGAAACACAGTGGCCCTGAGACGGAACAGCGCAAAAATCGAACCCAAAACTGCCTAACTTCCTTCTGAAACCCTAGGAAAGACAATAGTTTTCGACCATTTTTTGTACCGCTGTGAATATGTTGTTGTAATAATATCTAACGGGTCGGGGGAAGGGGGGGGGGTGACTGTTTTTTGATAAGGAAGATAGGGAGAAAAAATTAAAAATTGAGGGGGGGGGAAGAAGAAGTGTAAGGGGAAAAAGGGGGGGAAGGGAGGAAGGGTGGGGAAAGATGAAAGGGAGGGGGGTGGAAAAAGAGGGGGGGGGGGATTAGGAAACTTACAATGAGACATAGTGAGACATAGAACCCTCCTGCTGCTCCTTGTTGCTGCTGCTGCTCTTCCTCCCGAAGCTGAAAACGCACGCTGCCGGACAGGGAAACACAGTGGCCCTGAAGGACGGAACGGCGCCAAAATCGAGCCCAAAAACTGCCTAACGTCCCTTCTGAAACCTTAGCAAAACAATAGTTTTAGTTTTCGACCAGTTTTGATACCGGTGTTTGTACAATGAGACATAGTGAGACATAGAACCCTCCTGCTGCTCCTGTTGCTGCTGCTGCTCTTCCTCCTGAAGCTGAAAACGCACGCTGCCGGACAGGGAAACACAGTGGCCCTGAGGGACGGAACGGCGCCAAAATCGAGCCCCAAAACTGCCTAACGTCCCTTCTGAAACCCTAGAAAAACAATAGTTTTCGACCAGTTTTTGTACCGCTGTTTGTACAATGAGACATAGTGAGACATAGAACCCTCCTGCTGCTCCTGTTGCTGCTGCTGCTCTTCCTCCCGAAGCTGAAAACGCACGCTGCCGGACAGGGAAACACAGTGGCCCTGAAGGACGGAACGGCGCCAAAATCGAGCCCAAAAACTGCCTAACGTCCCTTCTGAAACCTTAGAAAAACAATAGTTTTCGACCAGTTTTTGTACCGCTGTTTGTGCAATGAGACATAGTGAGACATAGAACCCTCCTGCTGCTCCTGTTGCTGCTCTTCCTCCCGAAGCTGAAAACGCACGCTGCCGGACAGGGAAACACAGTGGCCCTGAAGGACGGAACGGCGCCAAAATCGAGCCCAAAAACTGCCTAACGTCCCTTCTGAAACCCTAGAAAAACAATAGTTTTCGACCATTTTTTGTACCGCTGTTTGTACAATGAGACAATGAGACATAGTGAGACATAGAACCCTCCTGCTGCTCCTGTTGCTGCTGCTGCTCTTCCTCCCGAAGCTGAAAAAGCACGCTGCCAGACAGGGAAACACAGTGGCCCTGACGGACGGAACGGCGCCAAAATCGAGCCCAAAAACTGCCTAACGTCCCTTCTGAAACCCTAGAAAAACAATAGTTTTCGACTATTTTTTGTACCGCTGTTTGTACAATGAGACATAGTGAGACATAGAACCCTCCTGCTGCTCCTGTTGCTGCTGCTGCTCTTCCTCCCGAAGCTGAGAACGGGCGCTGCCGGACAGGGAAACACAGTGGCCCTGAAGGACGGAACAGCGCCAAAATCGAACCCAAAAACTGCCTAACGTCCCTTCTGAAACCCTAGAAAAACAATAGTTTTCGACCATTTTTTGTACCGCTGTTTGCACAATGAGACATAGTGAGACATAGACCCCTCCTGCTGCTCCTGTTGCTGCTGCTGCTTTTCCTCCCGAAGCTGAAAACGCACCCTGCCGAAAAACAATAGTTTTCGACCAGTTTTTGTACCGCTGTTTGTACAATGAGACATAGTGAGACATAGAACCCTCCTGCTGCTCCTGTTGCTGCTGCTGCTCTTCCTCCCGAAGCTGAAAACGCACGCTGCCGGACAGGGAAACACAGTGGCCCTGAAGGACAGAACAGCGCCAAAATCGAGCCCAAAAACTGCCTAACGTCCCTTCTGAAACCCTAGAAAAACAATAACACAATAGTTTTCGACCATTTTTTGTACCGCTGTTTGTACAATGAAACATAGTGAGACATAGAACCCTCCTGCTGCTCCTGTTGCTGCTGCTGCTCTTCCTCCCGAAGCTGAAAACGCACGCTGCCGGACAGGGAAACACAGTGGCCCTGAAGGACGGCCTGCGGGCAACGGCTCCACAACAAACTCCTAGCGAGCGGTTGCGAAACAACAGCCTCCAAGGCGAGAAACCAACAGCCAGACATCTTTTTCGAAACTCGTAGTCGTAGCCGTAGTCGTACTCGTAGTCCTAGTAGTAGTAGTAGTAGTAGTAGTAGTAGTAGTAGTAGTAGTGGTAGTAGTGGTAGTAGTAGTAGTAGTAGTCCGACAAGGGTCAAATGTCTTATTCCCTGGCGCGCTCCCCCTTGCATCTGCCGGGGTCGGCGGATATATATGAAAGACTTGCGTGTGAGAGAGTTGTTTGTATATCTGTATGTGTTTATGTGTGTGTGTACCATCTGTAGAGATGTAAAACTTTGTTATGTTGCTGGGGGCCACCGGGGTCCCAGGAGGTCGGTGGCCAACGAAGACACCCCCTGGGTACGTTTTTACAATATATACATATATATATATATATACATATATACATATATATATATATACACATACATATATATATATACATATACATATATACACATATATATATATACATATACACATATATACATATATATACATATATACACATATATACATATACATAAATATATATATATATACATATATATATATACATATATATACATATATATATATACATATATATATATATAGAGTCCCGCCCCTGGGCGCATATAAGTCGCAGCTGGGGGGACATACATATTTATCGCTGTTGTTTTATATGGCCAACGTCTACTGTGATTATACGTTTATATGTATATTCATCATGTCATTTAATTGTTGCTCCACAACCGAATTCGCAACGACAGTTCTGAGCAAGTGTGTGACTCATGCCGGTTTCGTCATGGTGGCATGAACCCTTCGGGGAATACCTGTCTAAGTAGGAATTTTGATCCTCCGACTTGATCTCTGAATTTACAATTTTCAACCTGGTAATTCGTTTAAGTAAAGTAAAACAGTTGGCCTTTTTTCGGTTTTCGCCTTGTCGGTCGATGTGTTGAACAATGTGCTGCAGTTCTTGGCCTCACCTTTTTCAACCTGGTAATTCGTTTAAGTAATGTGAAACAGCTGGCCGCGGTTCTTGGCTTCACCTTTTCAACCTAGTAATTCGCTTAAGTAAAGTGAAACAGCTGGCCTTTTTTCAGGTCTCACTCAGTCGGTTGTTGTGTTGAAACAGGCAGGCTCACGACTTTATGTGTGGTCTTTCTTTCTTTTTATGGTCTCTGGTGAGGTTCATGCAACATGATGACAATTCCCAGGCAGGTTCACGACTGTAGGTGTGGCATTTTTTTTATCTTCATGGTATCTGGTGAGGTCTAGTTGTGCATGAATTCGAGGGTTGAATGTGTAAGCCGTCCATAGGGTTGACTTGACACTTTGGCCATTGAGCCTGATCAGGGGAACCTGCATGTCAGTGTGGATGCATCATTTGTTTTTTTTAACTCGGTCCCCATTGGTCCCCTATCTCATGTGTGCTCCCGTGTTAGGTCAGGTTTGTGTCCTTCACGTGCCGAGGTAGGTTTGGCCTCGCCTTGTAGGTTGTGTCAGGCGCTTCTGTCCGCCCCCCCCTCCTCGGGTCGGTGTTTGGTCCGTCGTCCGTCCGCTTTTTCTTTGCCCTTGCCCTTTCAGGGTTTGCCCGCTCTGGGCTATAGGTGTGTTGGTGTTGGTGTTTTCTCCTTTTTTCCTTTCTTCTTTTGCGTTCCCCGTCTCGCGTCCCGGTTAAGTAGCTGTCATCTCATTTTCATTGTCATCTTATTTTCATTTCCCTTTCATCATCTGCCCCGCTGCTGCGGGGCGTGTGTGTGTGTGTACCAGCTGTAGAGATGTAAAACTTCGTTATTTTGCAGGGGGCCACCTTTTTAGTCCGATGATTTCTCAGCTATAAACATCCGTGGCTAGTTCGAGGATTTCCCAGCTGGCCATGTTATTGATGACACCGGAGGGTATATTCCCATTCCCATGATATCCATTAAAAAAACTTTGTATCACCATTCTTGTTGGTTATATAAGTGACATATCCGATATATCGCAGTGATATACATTGTTGGGGGGTGAACTCCCATGGCTATTCCCTATTCTTGCTATTATTAAATAGAAACAACTGTAGTAAGTATGTATATGATACAATTTTATATATACATACTTACTACACTTATTAGTTATTACATGTTATTACATACTACATATGGAGGTTTCCTGAAATGGGTGCATCCAGCTCGGGTACCGGCCGCCAGGGCTTCATCCACAGACTGGCAACTTAGCTCCATCTTGGCCCGGGAAATTCGTGGGCGTTCGCAGGTATCTGTATAGCAAACCAAGTAGAGATACTGTTTATGACACATAGCATATAGTACATATCATATCGCATGATATGTAAAATGTTGTGATGTATATATTACTTGCACACACACGCATGTGTATGTATAAAACAACGTACATATGTTTGCATCTTCATATGTATACAGTCACTATACCATTGTTTTGGGTTGCCACTTCCGTGTCTTTGTTGTTCCAGGCTGACAGTCAATGCTTCGTCAGTGGCTTCATGGTCCTCACCATATTCGCACTCTTCGCGCCCGATTTGGACCTCCTACTTGGGACGGTGCAGTCGCAACACGCGCTGAGTTGCGAGATTGAACTGACGGGGCCGTTGGGAAATTTCAGAATCCAAAATGACACCACCTCATAATAGGGGGGTTTAAACCACTAATGGGAGAGATTACTCACCCAATAATGATAATAACTCTGGTGTTAAGGTGGATGCTGGTTCTCATTGTTGGGGGGTCGCTTTGGTCAGTAGTTAGTTGGGAGAACCCTGACATTAGAGCCTCAGGATCCGCGAAAAGGAGCGGCAATTAAGTGATATCGAGTGGGGGGAAGCGGCAGTTGAAGGATCAGCCGGAACGTCTGAGGTTTGATCATGACAGTTTGCTGCTTCTTATTTCTCATCGAGATTATTGTGCAAAGTCTCGGCAAGGACGGGCGACTTGGTGAATTATCGAAAGCTCGGGATGGGCGAAGTTGAAATTTAATCTGGCTCAAATGTCCACCAAGGATTTTGTATTGTGATGCCATCTTTCAAAACCCAGTGTTTCCGCGGTTTTTGTAGACATTCCTAGGGGATTTGTAGCTATACACTTTGATTTTGTTGTGTTTTTTTGGGTGGATTTACCACACTCAACCTGCTTAAGGGTCTATCTGGCCCGAAAAACCACCAAGGTACATCTTCCGCGCCTACTTCTGGCTTGACGTCATTGCCTTGATCTCCTTGCTGCCGGATACGTGGCTTTTCCGGGAGATCTTTGAGAGCAACCAGGTGCTACGGGGACGCAGTTGGGGTTGGTTTCGTGGGTGGAATAGTAACCCCCAAGAGTTGGGATGTGGGGCCCTTGGAACTATGGTCCATGGTTGCGTAGTTCACTGGAGAACCTGTGCCAAAGTCTTTAGGTGTGAAATTAGGACTTTGCTTTGGGATAGGGTCTCAAGACTCAAACATAAAGCACGGCCAGGCAGAAAGTGGACGGGTACCCATTCCCAACCTGTGGTAATCCTCCAAACAGCAATATTATCTTTTGAATCCCATCTGATTGCAAGGCAATTTTTCTCACAAACCTTTACGACATTGGGAGCTTTCATGATGTATGTGAAGCCTTTCAAACTCTCTTCCAGTAACCCCCTGGCATAGTAGTAGCGGCCTTTTTGTGGTTTTGATTTTTGTGCAAGGTCCGTACACTGGTAGGTAAACATGGCAACAACCCACCCTTGCAGATGGTTTACCCTGAAAGTGAGGATTCTCAGTTGCCATGTTGAATCACCAGCGGGGCAATGGTTTGTTCCAAGTCGCAGACAGAGGTTATGGTCCCAATTGTGGTGGTAGTTTTCCATTTGGGTTTGTCCAAAAAGAGGGTTCCTCATTCCATATACATATAATAATATATATATATATATATATTATTATATAAATTATATATATAATAAATTCAATATATGTATATATATATATATACTTATTATATTTTATATATTGCATATAGTAAGAAATATACCTGTTATATTATATAAACAATATATCACATATATTATGTATACATAATATATATAATATAATATATATATTATGTATATTATGTATATTATATATACATTATTTATATTACATATAATACATACATTATATATTATATTTGATATATTATATATTTTCATTTTATATAAAATATTTATATTATTTATAAATTATATATTATATATATTATATTCTATATACACGTATATTTATACACACACGATCTTTTTCCATGAAAATTGCATTTCATTGAAGGTATATACATTGGTTAACTCAAGCATAACTCCTATCCCAGTGATCCAAAATAGCATCAAACACACCTCGGACGAAATCCTGATTCAATATTAGGATCTCTTCATTCAAGGGATGCTAGATGCCATGATCATTAAAATATATCACTATCTCCCCATCAAAGGGAAATCATCATCAATCAATCATGATTAGTTTTTTCACTGGTGTTTGATCAACCAATCATTGTTATTGATATTGATATTGATATTGATATTGGTGATGACGATGGCGATGGTGATGACGATGACGATGACGATGGTGATGATGATGATGATGATGACGACGATGATGGTGATGATGATGACGACGATGACGATGACGATGACGATGATGATGATGATGATGATGGTGGTGATGATGATGATGATGATCATTGATCGATCATTGATCGATCAATGTGTCATTGAAATATTTATTTAACCATGCCATAGTAGACACCCAAATTTGGATGAGTGAAATCCCATTTTTGGATGGGATTGCCATTTTCCTACCCTCTTGGGTACTGCAGATTGTGGGGATTACGATTATCTCCGTTCTATCCCCATCTCCTCATGAAATTGAGATTGTTATCATCCAACTGTTGATATCATATTGGCTATATCTTACCGATGCTTAAAACATGTTATATACCCAAATTTCGCTGAGTAACGTGCCATTTTTTGCTTGTGATTGCCATCTTCCAAGTATTCAACCCCTAATTTTTCAGGGTAAACCCATATTCTAAGGATTTCCACAGGCTAATCTCAACCGTGTTGTCGGCATTGCCCCAATTCAAGGGTCACCTGGACCCCCGGCTCCAGGCCTTCGTTGCAGGGCGTTCCTCGCGCTTGGCGCGGCTGCTGCGCATTGCATCGCGTTCTTCGAAGGTTTCGATCCCGTTGGTGGAAGGATTTTGTTTGGTGGTCAAATTTATGAAGTAGGGGATGAATGAATAACATATATATTTATATACACATACATATATACATAATAATATATATATTTATATATATATATAGATAAGTGAACTGTGAAGTTGAATTTCCACTACCTATGGGTTATTTTTCGGGTCTATGTTTATTTGCGGGAGGGTATAATTCTCTCCATCAGTATTTTCAATTGTATGTAGATTCATGTCATTTGTGGTAGAAAATTGGGGATAGTGAGATCCAATTGGTACATAGTAACACCAAGATTTGCTATTTTCGCCATAACATCTGCAGTTTAACCACCAGGTCACCGGAAAAAACGATTGCACCCAGCAAAAATAGAGGATTTAGACGAAAAGAAATTCGTTGACTACTAAAAATGACAGAACTTGTGATCGCTATGTTTCAGAAGAAAACTCCCTTACACAAATTTTTGAGAAAAACACAATTCTTGGGTTCTCAAACAAATAAGACACATGATACTAGATGATAATACTGATGAAATACCGCTGGTAATACGAATTATATTGTATACTGACACTACATAAGAACACTAACTTTGCTACACAACAATACTAACAAGAGCATACTAACGCAAGTCAATAATACTAATAACCCTATAAAGTATGATACTACTGTACAATATTAATAGTGCACAGTAATACTAGTAATCAGAAGACTAATATAACCAATGCTACAGTACAATGTAGTACTTTACAACGCTATGTAATACTATATAGCACCATAGAATAACTATATAATACAACAAGAACTGCTGCTACTACTAATGCTATTAAGAATAGCAACAATACCATTAATCTCAATTATGACCATCATGCTCATCATCATGGCAAATCTATGGCACATCTACTCAGACCACCAAGGGTTCCTCCGTTCCTGCAGCTCTTCCTCAGGCCACCCGTCTCAACCGTCTCACCCGCATCGTGCGAGTGGCGGCGCTGATGCCAAGGCGAAGCTTCATGGTTTTGTGATAGGCTTCATTTCATATGGTTATGTGATTTGTGCTGGGTATAACATACATACGTACGTACATACCTACGTACATATGGACATACGTACATACGTACGTATGTATTACATACGTATACGTACATGCGTACATACGTACATGCATGCATACATACATGCATGCATACATACATACATAGATACATACATAGATACATAGATACATAGATACATAGAAACATAGATACACAGATACATAGATACATAGATACATGCATAGATACATGCATAGATACATAGATACATAGACACATAAATACATAGATACATAGATACATACATACATAGATAGGTAGATAGGTAGATAGGTAGATAGATACATAGATACATATATACATAGATAGGTAGATAGGTAGATAGGTAGATAGGTAGATAGGTAGATAGGTAGATAGGTAGATAGGTAGATAGATAGGTAGATAGATAGGTAGATAGATAGATAGATAGATACATAGATACATAGATACATAGATACATAGATACATAGATATGTACATAGTTACATAGAATGACGTTTCATATTTGATAGTTGATGTAACTATGTATAATATATATATATGTATATATATTATATATATATACACGTATATGTAACATACACATATTCTTTAGCCCCCTGGTGTTGTTTTTCCTGTTTTCAGAAGGGTTGGGGGAACAAACTGCTGTGGTATTGAGTGATTTGCGATATTTTTTTTGATGTGCAGGTGGGGCTGGCCCCCTTTAAACATCAGAGGGACCTTGATTCAAAGAGGTGTAACATCTTAGCGCCAGCTCCTTGACATGGTTGCTTGTGACAGGACAAGTAGCTTTGGAGATGTCTGGGAGTTGTAGATGTTGTTCCCAGGGAAGTAGTTAGTTTTCTGGGAACCCAGAGATCGCGCACCGGAGGCTTGGGAAGATTTGTGCCTTGTGCAGCAAGTGGACTAGGCAGTGGATGGCCATTGGCCACCAGGTTTGATCATTGTGGCTGGAATTGAACCCGCAGAACCAATGCCATCCATTTCGATGCTTTGAGACCTTTTGGGGACCTATATGCAATTGTTGTTATGATCAAATTCGAATCAGTGCCAACACCTAGGGTCGGCTTCGAAATGGACCAGTCAACTGGGGTTTAAACGATGATTTACAGAAGATTCAATCCACTGAAAATAGGGGGTTGTTGATACCCAATGTCAACCAATCGTTGTCACTGGTTGGTGATATTCATTCAACTTAATGAGGAGATTTACATGAATGATCCATGTCTAGTCTGAATCCTTATTGGTTTTATACCCATGACATGTCGGAATGGATCGACACTTCGAGATTTTGATCATTCTCGGATTTTTTTTGCGATGCAAAAAGACGTGATCCATATGGCTGTGCCTTAAAGGGTATTCTTTGGCACCTTTGTTGAGCGATGTGGCTTTGTCAGAACACATTTTTACTCATTTTTTAAGATACTTGAGTGCGAAAGTCCAATTTTTGGGGCACTTGCAACTACAATAGTTCTTCTTTGTCTTCTTCATCTTCTCCCTTTCCTGATGATTTAAGGACCATTTCTAGTGGGGAAAAGCTTCCCTGGACCCATTCAAGCCGCGTCCTGCGTCAAGCGTCCAGCCCAGGCGCGAAACGTGTGAAGGTGAACGACACCAATCGGGTTCTCGACAAAAAGTCGCTTGACCGAGACATGCGAAACAGGCGAACCATGGACCTTGGACCGTAATAGGACCAGAGGCTGATGGGAGGTGTACTGTACGAATGGTCGAGTCAAAAATCAAACAAAAGGTCGATTTAGATTTGAAGCAACTGAGCAGCACTTCTGTGGCGGAAAGTTCAAGCCTTAGAGAACCGGGGATTCACGGGGATTCACAATTTTCAGCCTTGACAGTTGGGGGGGGCCCTCCCCTCACCGTGGAACCAGCTCCCAGGTTGAGGCGTGTTTTCAACTTCATTGACACAGACATGGATGGCTACATCCCACAGGTGGCGGTGATTAGCGTCATCTCCAAGTTGAAGGCCTGCTGTCAGGGAACTGGGGAGACCTGGGGAATTGATCTTTCCAGGCGATTAGCCATGAGGTCCACTGGAAATCTGCCGTAAATTCACGACTGGGTTTCTTCAATGAACCAGTAGGTTCTATTTTCTGAGTCTAGGCACACCTGGATTGCTTTCTCCAGGCTATGAAAGACATGTGACATATGCGATACAGGGGGATTCCAATGATGCGGTGGTCTTCACATATCGTGCGGATTCGTGAGGTATATAAGATCTATCATGAATGTTTGCAACATCCCAGCATCAGCCAGCATCACCCAGCATCCCATTTTGGTCGGCGCTGTGCGAAAAGGCTGAAGAGGGAGCAGATGATAGCACTGCCTTGATGAGCCTGATGAAGTCAAAGGTGGCGCCCGTGCCGGGATCAATCCCATTTCGGGGTAAACCACTATGCCTGGTGAAGTTCACTGGTGAAGGTCTACGAAACCTATATGTTCTTAACCCTTTGTCAACGGCTGGTATGTAACAGATTCCAACGAGCGACCTGCCTGGATTTATTTGGTGCAGGTGGTGAATACCCTTGGCATCATGCGGCGCTTGGCCAAGGCTGAGTTGGTGATATTGGCGGTTTCTGGGACCCCCCGAGATTTGGGTGGGAAAAAAAGGGAACGTCACATAATGCTGCAAGAACATGTTCTAGGGGTTGTCCACCAGAACAGGTCATTCTGGGAGGACATTTGCCAAGTGATGTCCAAATGGACATCATCCAACATCAAACTCATGGATCCTGGATGTCCTCGAAAGTGAGGCAAACAAATACTCCAACAATACAAGAAACCATTGAGGATCCGATCGAGGATCCCAAAAATGATATAAATCATAGGAAATCCCAGCTGTGTTAAAATGGAGCAATCGACCATTTGGGACTGTCCAAAAATAGTTTTTTTTGACAAAAACTCCAGTGGTTAATCATCACTTTCCCTCTTGCAATTGGCACAGTCGTGTATATAAATCTCCCACTTCTTGACCCATCCCCACTTGCAGCCGCGCGGGAATGTCAGACACAAAAGTCAGAGCCCCACTCCATGCTCTCTGAGGGCACGAGGCGGGTCTGTGGGTCACTTTGGGGTTCAAAATTCATGATAATTCATGTGGTAAATGGACGACCCCAATAGTAAGCAATAGTGTACCCAACAAGAACATACAAGAATTACATGTTATCACCTGGCAGTGTATCATTTTTACACTGAACAATGGTGGATGGTTTCAGACCCTGGACGGCCCACGTCCAGTGGGTCTGGTAGCCCATGGTTGAACCACAGTAAATTCTCACACAGTTTGGTTGATTGAAAGTAATAAGAAACAGAAACAGAAGCAGAAGCAGAAGCAGAAGAAGAAGCAGAAGAAGAACCAGAAGAAGAAGAAGAAGAAGAACCAGAAGAAGAAGAAGAAGAAGAAGCAGAAGAAGAAGAAGAACCAGAAGAAGAAGAAGAAGAAGAAGAAGAAGAAGAAGAAGAAGAAGAAGAAGCAGAAGAAGAAGAAGAAAGAACCAGGAAGAAGAAGAAGAAGAAGAAGAAGAAGCAGAAGCAGAAGCAGAAGAAGAAGAAGAAGAAGAACAAGCACGACGGCAGGAAAAGCAATGACGGGGCTGACCTGTATTGTTTGCGATTACTTTTTGCCCCCGAAGTTGGATGTTTTGCTCAGAGAAAATTCGCATTTCTGGCCCTTTGGGCACCCAGATGTTTACCTGGCCGCTTCGAAGGTCGAAGACCTCCATGGAGTTTGGAGGTCGCTCTAAGACCTCCTTGGAATTTCTGGCCGAGTCACCTTGTCAATCCCAAACCTCAGGCGAGTGTGGTCGGCGGATTTTTGGGATGGCAAATCACCAGTTTTTTGGGTGGTAAATCATCGAACCAAATTGGTTCATCTTCCGCTCCGGAAAATTACTGGAGGGTAATCTGAGGTGATCAATAAAAACTGGGTTGGCCACTTTTTCGAGTTGGGGTTGCTCGGAAATGCGGCTGCCTTAGGGCCTTTTGGTGACTCTCCGAGAGAAGGGCCAGAGAGCAGCCATACCAGTTGCTTGGCATTCGAATTTGGTATGAGATTTTGTGGCACCAGATGAGCTGTGGTCAATACTCATGGTTAATAACCATTAATAGGGGCTAGTCATCCAATGGTTCATAGGGATTTATAATAACCATTATAAGGATCCTTATTATGGATGGGATGACCATCAACCATATAGTGAGTATTGACCATGGCTCAGATGCAAGTGCAGGGTTTTCCAAATTTTCTGAAGAGCCATGTTTTCGGTTCAGGTGAGGTTTAGGGACTAAATGTGTTTCATCCTCTACATCCATCAAACCTATTTCAGGTATGACGAATATTATATAAATTATATACTAAAACCTGATTTAAGTGAGCTTTCATAATGAACCATTCAAAACCATCAAAGATTTAGGTGAGCTGGTCATTCTGGTCCACTGAGGTCCTAGGCGCAAACCGCTGAGCAAGAGCCACACCAGCAATTTTCAAGCCAAGATGAAGGCGCCATAGCGGAGCCAACCCCAAAAAAAACTGATAGATGTTTCCTCCATGAATTGTCCTTGCAAATCTTTAGTGGAAAAATGGTCTACAAGTGGTTTATCAGATACATATAGATACTAGAGACGGTGATTCAAGCAGCAAACATGAGGGCATAAAATGAACTTGATGCGGATACAATGGACTATTTATACATATTTATACTGTATATTATATTATATATTATATATATAAATATATATATATATATATTTGATTGTACAAATCAGAATTTGTGTAAGTTGGATCCCCATTGTTGCTGGTTACCCCATTTTACATCGCAATTTTTGTAGGTTTGCTGGTTGAACTACAGTATATGTTCGTAGAGTAAATCATAATTGTTTGTAGGTTAGATCCCTCTTGTTGCTCTTTCAATTGTTATCTTTGTAGCTTTGCCCGTTAAATGACAGTTTTTCCAGGCCTGATCCCGATTCAAATCACAATTTTTGACTCAATCCGTATTGCCGGTCAAAAATGCTGGTCAAACTCCAAATTTTGATGGTTAAATCAGTGAAATCCCATGTTAAAAAAAATGATTTAAGGTTAACAATCCCATTCCCTGGAAAAAAGCATGTTTTGATGGTTAACTGCCTCCCATCCCCTTTCCCCATGTTTTTTTTGTTCACCCTTAACGACGTCGGACGTTGAGACCATGGCTTTAGCAGCCTCCAGCACCTCGCAGCTCACGCGGCAGAGCCCTGAGGACGGAGATGGTTTCATATATGGATGGTTACATAGACATAGACTATATCAATGATTATCTAATGGTTATCTAATGGTAATCTAATATAATGGTCTAATAAAATATATGATAATGGGTAATCTATATGGATAACCAATATATGGGTACTACCATATATATATATATAATGGTTGTCTAATGGTTATCTAATGGGTATCCAATGGTTATCTAATGTCAGATGGATATTAGTAAAGGATGGTTATATCAATGATGGTTGGTTGATGGTTACATATGGTTATCTAATGTTTTATACTTCACTACAGACTTTTGTAGGGATTCAACCTAGTCTGGACATGTGGGATATTTTTTTACCGGCAACATTTATTACGAATGATCGATGATGGTTGGTTGATTAATCCCTTCCCCAGTACATAAACACCCAGCATGGTGACATTTGAAAACGTATTTGGGACATTTTTGGACCCTGGATGTGTTTGATATTGGGGGATGGGATATGATGGGATTATGCCCCGATTTTTGTGTCATCAGCTCGGCACTTGAAAATCCCACTTTTTTTTATGTTTTTTTCAGATTTTCCCATTCAAGCTCCATATTGTTTTTTGGTTTTTCCTTTGTGGGGGCACCCCAACAAAAGCATGGGTTGCAGAAACCTATACCCTCTGGTTATGACTAACATAGCCATGGAAAATGGCCCTAATCGAAATAGATGGTTTACCGTTCTTAATAGCATGGGTGCCGGGTGGATCTTTCCATGGCGAACTGTTAGTCATAACCAGATGGTAAGTCATGGTCATCCATGACTTGGATGGGGGATAGCTACGACTGGGACTCCATAGGAGGTGGATCCGGAGGAACCCATCGAGTTTGCCGTGCCTTGGCCGAGCGATTTTTTGCGACCACCGAAAACCGGAGGTCAAAATCGGACGTCAAACGACAGAAAAAGGTGATTTCAGCGGTAAACATAGGGATTTAACATAATTTAACATAATTTAACATGATTTAACTAGCCAAAAAATGTCAAACACTATCAAAACAATATATTTTGATCACCAAAGATGGCGGTTCACAAGCAAACATATGGGGAGTTAACCACTCTAAAGTGCGGCTATCCCCAATATCAGTGGCCAGTGGACCGGTATGGGGTTTGACACAGAATCTCCGGAGACGATTTGTGGAAAGCATCTTTGGGACCTTTTTTGTCCCTGGTTATCTGGAAATCGATCCAGTTCGCAAGTGTAAGGGACAATATTGACAATATTTTGATATGTTTTGATATGTTTTGTAGTTTAATTTGATGGTGGTTGCACCAAGGAATTCCTGCCACTCCCAGTCGTCCCAAGGAATTCCGACGCTTGATGCTGGAGGATGAATGGGTGGCATCCAAGCTGCGCTCGGCGTGCGAGCGCCAGTTGAAACAGGCCAGTGATGCTTCCGGTGAAAAGCACAAGTTTTGGGGGATTGAAGCTTCATACATGGCAGTTTTGAAAAGGGAAAATTATGGTTAAGCATCAAATTTGGGAATATACAATAAGCGGATATAAGGGGCATATCTGGGGATATATATAGAAACAATGTTACATTTGGGGGTGGGATCTGAAGATGGGATTCAAGTTATGGTCCTTTCGGGAAATGATTATTTATCAGTCGATTTAGTTTTCAGACAGAACCAGAAAAACGTGCGGGAACTATTCATGGTAATGGAGAATCTGGATTCTAAAGCCATCCCCAGTTTCTTGTATGTTATCGGGTTTGCCCGTACTTGGGCGGATGGACAAGGATGGTTGATTCATCCTTGTGCATCCAGCTGATCCAATGGAAGCAGGTATGGATTTCTGGGATCACAACTGATGGGCCACGACCCAATTATCAGCAGTCTCCAACTGCAACCTCCCATTACAGTCGTGGCCAGTAGTGTTAGGTGAATACCATAGTTATTCCCAACACGATGAGTGTATATATATATACACACATACATACATTTGGGTAAATTATAACGACCTCACTGCGACCTCACTAGAAATCATGGTTAGTAAGGGAAATTATCCCCAAATGGCCTTAATTCAGGTTAGTGAAATATTATAAATTACCCAAATACATACATACATACATACATACATACATACATACATACATACATACATACATACATACATACATACATACATCCATGCATACATACATACATACATACATACATACATATATATGTATATCAATATGCACAGCAAAGATAACGTCTATATATATATATAGACTGATTACCTGCCTACTTATCCCCAGTGATCACCTACCAAAATCCAGTCAACTTGGCAGGCCAGCAACATGAAGAATCTCACTTCCCGGCATGCAGCAACTGGGCGATCACATGGCACAGTGTGCCACAGTGGGCACGGCCCCAGGAAAATCTGTGGGAGATTTCAAGGTGAAAATATGCAAAGGAACATATGTCATGGGAGCTTTGATAGCGATATCATGGGAGCTTTGAAACCGGGTATTTTTCAGAGAAACCAAACTGATAACTGGGAAGATTCAGCACTGTCAGAGAGCAATCCAAGGAGCATGTCGCTGTGAAGGTGGCTTTGGGCGTTCTCCTGTTGCTCAACTGGAAAAAATGAGCTGTTTGGAGCGAGGGGTCACCCAAAAAAGGATGAAATGGAAAGCTGTGCTGAGCCCAGTTCCCCTGAAAGCCATTGGTATAGGTGTCTTTATTGATTGTCCATTGATTTTCCTGATTTGTTGAATTTCGATGATGTTTTCCTCACCTTTTGGTGGCTGATCGATCATGGTCGACCTCATCCCACTAGGTCGGGGCTTAAAAGTTAGCGTCCTCGGCCCAAAATTTGGAGGTCTGGGTCAATATTTCAAGCAGCAACGGACTCGTTCCTTTGAGTGGTGAATCCAATCATTTTTACCAATGACTTTTGAGGGTTGATACACATCATTTCTGGTAGAATTGGGGTGTTAAATATGATTGAGTTTACTCCATTAGCAACCATGCCATTGGTTTTTGGGTCCCAATGACTTTGGCCCATGTTTTTGAGCTCGCGGTGCTTCAACTGGCGTGGAAAATCCTTGAGAAAAGTATGTGATTATCGAAGTCATAGAGTCTACCCTGAACATGGAGAGTAGCGCACTTTGATCTCTCGTGAGCGTGATTTCTGTGTGATAACCCAGCAGTAATCCTGGGGTGATACGTGATTTTGGGTTGGAGGACTTGCTGGAATCTCTAATCGGGCATGGCTCAAATTTGTGACACCATACGGCTGGTCATGGAATGACCATCCCATTTTCAGCTAAGATACTGTACCCTTGAACCAACCATGCCCAGAGTCTCATAGTTTGGACAGACAGCCCAGGTGCCAGTACCAATGCCTTTTGAAACCCTTTTTTTTTCTGGTGTCCCAATGAGCTTGGTGAGCTGTTCATCCATCTTCACCTAAGGCTGCTTTTTGTGCTCAACTTGATCGAACCAACTTTGAAAAACATTTCGCCCCTGCGTGGCTTGCGCTTCTGCGACAAGCTCGTTGGGAGCTCAGCGTGCACCGCTGGATGGGTCCGGCTCGCGAAGTCTTGACCCAATCCATGCTTTTGCATTTCTGGCTCCGTTGTACCAAGCAGTTTGGATGAGGACTTTCCATTGGATCCAGTGATACTCCCTGGAGCCAAGGTAAGGGTGGAATTCCCAAACCTCACCGCAGGGGTGGAAGTGCCCGAACTTGTCAAAGAGCAAGTGGAGGCGCACGCCGCAACCGACTGATGTGGGTCCTGACGAAGAGTTCACCATTGGAGAGTTTTGATGGTTGATTCATAGCTACACCATTGGAAGCAAACGCTTTTTGGAAGTTTCCTAAGTCATGGGGGTGCTCACAAATCATCCAAGTCATGGATTACAATTTTAGTATTGAAACATTGAAACCCATAGTGACTTGGGGATCCCCCATTTTAAGATCCTCGCCATGGTGGGTTGGTTCCGTCTCGGCCAGGTTTGGCTCGATGCTGTGGGGAAGAGCATAGGCACAAGATCCTTGCTCTACCTGGATTTAGACAAGAAAGCCTGGGCCTCAGGTTTTGCCTTCCAGTAATACCCCTGATGAATAAGCTACTGTTGGCCAGGCTGTTTAATTGGGTACCATTTTTTTGTCGCATAATATCACTACTGGTACTACTGGTGGGGTTGACATTACGGGTTCTGTGTACAATCTGTTGAGCAATGACCCCGCGTTGATCGATTGTTGTATGGGGTTTACAGATGCTTTTCATCCATTAAATTAATATAATAAACATTAATAAACTATAGTAAATTCATGAAAATTCGCATTAGTGATTTTGTCTTGGTGCCAATGGAATGCTTTTTCCCCCGTGATGCCGTGGTGCTGTCTACTGGCCTTGTCCTCGGACTTCTCCTGGATCGCCGAGGTGTATTGTAGTGACATTGCGGGTCATACAGGCCGTTGAATTGGGTCCGGGACACCACAGGGAACAAGTGCCGAAGCAGGAAATTCAACGAAATTGTACCCCACCGGACATGCGAGAAATTGTTTCGTTGATTTGGGGGTCGGGCGTTGCATGGGGGGTAAGTTGCTCTATTGGATTTTTTCACATGATTGAGCCTGAATTTTCTGCGTCTCTAAGTTGATCCTGAACGGATAGTTTCAACTATTTGTCATTTTCAACCATATCTTCCATATCATATAATACCATATAATCCACCATATCTTCCATATCTTCAACCATATCTACTGGTATGCCGATGACCCATCCACAGGTGGACCCTGCACCAATGCCTCGCACTTCGGCCAACTGCGCGGGAGTTTGCTGGGGCTGGACAGTGACCTGCGGAACACCGGCGTGAGGCGACCGGTGGGGCCCGGTGGGGCCCGGTGGACGTTTGAATTGTGACCTCACCACAAGACCTTATGGCACTTATGGGAAACTTATGTTTCGGATTGAGAGGATTGGAGGATCCGACAAATTATGAAAATTAGCTCTGAAACAAAAATATGGCAATCTCCAGTGAACTAGTGCTCTTTGCCACGACTTGTAATACCGGCCATCAAAACATGGCCATTGACGATGACCCATTTGACGATCACCCATTCACGAAAAGGGTGATATTCTCCAGATGAAATTCCTGCACCCAAGTTGTAGGAGGTAGCCTCCAGTGAATCAAAAAAAACATGGCTGCCCAAGGACGGCACGGCAACACATTTCTGGTGGCTTACAGAATCCATCAGAAACCATCTCCATATCATATGTCATCTGTGTCCATATCTTAACTTCACTGAGTTGAAGGATCATGGTCCTAGAAATCATGTTAGATGATATATATATATATATATGTATATATGATACCCTCAAGTACGAGGTATCTAGAATGGGTACCCCTGGAGGGGTCGACCACAAGGTTCTAAAATCATCCCCTGGGATGATTGTAGAACTTTACCCCTTATGATTTTAGAACCCTATATGTTGTCACATATATATAGATAGATAGATAGATAGATAGATTTCATTTATATATATATACATGTGTATATATATAGATATATGTATATATATATACCCTATTCAAAGCCAACTTTTGATATCTTCCCACATGTCCCCAAAGATCAGCCAACACTACATAGAGAAAAAACATCTCAGAACCTCTTGGGTCAAGAAGATTTTTTTTTTTTAAATATATATTTTTTTGAGTGTTGGAAGTTCCCAACTTCAAACCCTTTCAAACCAAAGCACTCACATGGCCCTTGCAAGTCTCATACACATAGCTTGGGGTCTTAGATCATATCTTCCCACATGTCCTCAAAGATCAGCCAACACTACATAGAGAACACACATTTCAGAACCTCTTGGGTCAAGTTTTTTTTTTTTAATATACATTTTTTTTGAGTGTTGGAAGTTCCCAACTTCAAACCCTTTCAAATCAAAGTACTCACATGGCCCTGGCAGGTCTTATACACATAGCTTGGGGTCTCAGATCATATCTTCCCACATGTGCTCAAAGATCAGCCAACACTACATAGAGAACAAACATTTCAGAACCTCTTGGGTCAAGAAGATTATATTATTTTTTTAATATTTTTTTTGAGTGTTGGAAGTTCCCAACTTCAAACCCCTGCAAACCAAAGCACTCACATGGCCCTTGCAAGTCTCATACACATAGCTTGTGGTCTCAGATCATATCTTCCCACATGTGCCCAAAGATCAGCCAACACTACATAGAGAACAAACATTTCAGAACCTCTTGGGTCAAGAAGATTATATTATTTTTTTTATATTCTTTTTTGAGTGTTGGAAGTTCCCAACTTCAAACCCTTTCAAACCAAAGTACTCACATGGCCCTGGCAGGTCTTATACACATAGCTTGGGGTCTCAGATCATATCTTCCCACATGTGCCCAAAGATCAGCCAACACTACATAGAGAACAAACATTTCAGAACCCCTTGGGTCAAGAAGATTATATATATATATATTTGAGTGTTGGAAGTTCCCAACTTCAAACCCTTTCAAACCAAAGCACTCTCATGGCCCTTGCAGGTCTCATACACATAGCTTGGGGTCTTAGATCATATCTTCCCACATGTCCTCAAAGATCAGCCAACACTACATAGAGAACACACATTTCAGAACCTCTTGGGTCAAGTTTTTTTTTTTTAATATACATTTTTTTTGAGTGTTGGAAGTTCCCAACTTCAAACCCTTTCAAATCAAAGTACTCACATGGCCCTGGCAGGTCTTATACACATAGCTTGGGGTCTCAGATCATATCTTCCCACATGTGCTCAAAGATCAGCCAACACTACATAGAGAACAAACATTTCAGAACCTCTTGGGTCAAGAAGATTATTTTTTTAAAATATATATATAATATATATTTCTGAGTGTTGGAAGTTCCCAACTTCAAACCCTTTCAAACCAAAGCACTCTCATGGCCCGGGCAGGTCTTATACACATAGCCTGGGGTCTCAGATCATATCTTCCCACATGTGCTCAAAGATCAGCCAACACTACATAGAGAACAAACATTTCAGAACCTCTTGGGTCAAGAAGATTATTATTATTTTTTTAAATATATATTTTTTTTTGAGTGTTGGAAGTTCCCAACTTCAAACCCTTTCAAACCAAAGCACTCACATGGCCCTTGCAAGTCTCATACACATAGCTTGGGGTCTTAGATCATATCTTCATTCTATTGCTAGGTTAAGACTTGATCTCAGAACCCCTGTTGCTAGGTCAAGATTTGATCTCAGACCCCCTAACGTACCACTTGTTTCAGGAGGTGCAAAGTTCTGATATCTAAGTGGTGGTTTTCTAAAAGAATATGATTTCAGATACCCCAAAAGGTTCTATAATGCTGTGTCCAGGGTCCCTGGCTCGTAGTTGAGGGTATTATATATGTATAATAATATATAATATATGTATATATATATATAGATATTACTATATTGTTATATACACATACACACACATATATATATACACACATATATATACATATATATATATACACATACATATATATATATATAAATATGCACATATATATTTACGCAGATATACATATATATAAATACATACATATACGTATACATATACATATATACATATATATATACTATATATATACACTATATACATACACTATATTATATACTATATATATATGTATAATATATACTATATATATACACTATATATATACTATATATTATATATATACTATATATATATACTATATATATATATTATATATATACTATATATATACTATCTATATATACTATATATATACTATATATTTATATACTATATATATATTATATATATACTATATATATATACTATCTATATATACTATATATATACTATATATTTATATACTATATATATATTATATATATATACTATATATATACTATCTATATATACTATATATATACTATATATATACACTATATATATATACTATATATATACTATATATATACTATATATATACTATATATATATACTATATATACGATATATATACTATATATATACTATATATATATATACTATATATACCTACTATATATATATACTATATATATACACTATATATATACTATATATATATATACTATATATATATACTATTTAATACTATCGTATACACTATATATATATACTATATATATACTATATATATACTATATATATTATATACTATATATATACTATGTATATACTATATATATATACTATATATATATACTATATATATATACTATATATATTCTATATAGATATAATATAAATACTATATATACTATATATATACTATATATATACTATATATATACTATATATATAGTATATATATACTATATATATACTATATATATATATACTATATATATACTATATATATACTTTGTATATATATACACTATATATATAGTATATATATACTATATATATACTATATATATACTATATATATAGTATATATATACTATATATATACTATATATATACTATATATATACTATATATACCTATATGCGATACTTACCAGTCATTGTATACAGGCCTTTACTCCCAGTTTCCAGCTGTGGTGTCATCGCCTATACAGGGGACATATATGTGATTAGTATAATGTAGATCACTCTGATAGCAGCAAGAGCATCATACGTATGACCAGATGCAGTTATCGTCTATAGTATACCGGTCATTAGGTTATATCACCACAAGTATATGTATACTAATATCTAGTGTCTACTAGAAGCGCCAAGGTGGCTAGTGTGTAGGATCATGTGGTATTATCTACTATGTACTTGAAACCACATCTGATCTTCTATATACTTGGGTGAGGAGTGCACTATATACTATATATACTATATATATACTATATATACTATATATACTATATATATACTATATATATACTATATATATACTATATATATATACTATATATATACTATATATATATACTATATATATACTATATATATATACTATATATATACTAGATATATACACTATATATATACTATATATATACTATATATACTATATATACTATATATACTATATATACTATATATACTATATATACTATATATATACACTATATATGCACTATATATATATACACTATATATGCACTATATATATACACTATATATATAGTATATATATACTATATATATACTATATATATACACTATATATATACTATATATATACTATACATATATACACACTATATATATACTATATATATATGTATATATATATACACATGTCATGACTATCATCATTGGTCCATGCTAGAGCGACCTGCGGCCAGGCAGTCCGACCTGCTCCTCCTGCGGGTTCCAGTGCGCTGCCCCAGCTGGGGGAAGTGTCATAATCTCCATCTAAACACGAAGCCCGGTACAAAGACAAATCTTTCGATAATATACAAATATATATATATACGTATATATATATATACGGCCCAGATATGGCCCAGATATGATATGCATATTTACAGATATATATATATATATATATCTATCTATCTACAGCCTTTGGAGCATATTCTTATGTGACTCATATTCAATGATGGAATTGAATGTGGTCTGCTAGCACCAGACTCTTCCGTCTCCTTAATCCACCACCTGGACCCTGACAGTTGACGCATGCAATGCCGAAACATCTGGCTAGATGCGCATATATATATATATTATGGCAATAGTAATACATACATATCTACATGAATGTATACCAACAAAAATAGCGCAAATATGTATGTTTCTGCCGATTTCTTCCTTTCTCCCTTATTTTTCGAGGTTGACGTCACAGCTGGTCGCCTTGTCCGTTTTCCCGTGAAATCCCAGGATTTTTCGGATGCGGAAGTGTCACAGGAGCAGCTGGAGTGGCTCAGAATGATAGAAACTGAATTCTGGTGGCCAAAATGGGACTGAATTTTGGGTATCCTTACCTCCATATGCCTCCCAAATAGCAATTCTTTTTGTTGGGATAGTGGTGATGAATCAGTGGATTTTTGGTACTCGGTACTCTATTTTCAGACCCAAATAGTAGTCATAGAGACTACGGTGGAATGTTATGGGATATCTTTTAACCAACGACAGTATGACAGTATGACTCATGGGTTTGTTGGTCATGGGCTGCAACCATGATCTGGGGATATATGTCGGGGGATACGATGGATATTTTTTATTACTCAGCAACATGTCATGGATTTGTTCAATTATGATATACATATATATATATATTTCGTATATATATATAACCCGCTCCGTTTACTTAGAATATGCTTTTTTCCAATTATGCAGTTGAACTCGAACGCAACTCTACTTAGAATATGCCCCCCATTTCGTGCTCATTTGTTTTCTCCCCATTTGGCCTTCGCTCTGGAAGCCTTTGTACATCTCTATGCAGCATGTTTATATAATTGATTACATAGAGACAGCCTGTTTATATAATACTATTCTATGTGACGTCAACTGTATTCTAAGTACATGTTTTCAAGTTCAATTATGGGGATGCCCTGGGAAGCCAAAATTTCAATTCCATATTCTAAGTAAACGGAGCGGGTTATATATATATAAATAATATACCGCCAATTTATGGCAAACATGAGGTTTCTCTGGTTCTCACATCAAGATATGTTTTGGTAATTTGTGACCGCTCATCTCCCCAAATCAGTGTTGGAAAATCCATGGAATTTCAGCAATTTTGAGCCTTAGATGGGATCATGGTGATATCTGGATTTACCGACTTCCAAATCAAAGGGGGAAAAAATCAAGACGCCCCAAAAATGGAGGTTTCCTGAAATGGGGGATCCCCAAAATCCATGGGTTTCAATACTAAAATGGTCCAATTTGGGATGATAACTGGGGGTATATGACTTAGGAAACCTTCATGGCTGGACCTTGCCATGGTTTTCATGGTCTCTTCAATGAACCCACTATGGGCTTACCTACCTATCTACCTACATCCCAAAATAGAAACATACACAGATACACAGATGTCGAGGTTTCCTACGTCATGAGGTACCCCCAGTTATCATTCATTTTATTTTTGTTTTTTCTGTGAAATAAACTATCCAGCTAGTGGGGCACCCCCATATTTTACGAAACCTCCATGTGTAAGTGGAGATATTCCATGACATCACCATGAATTCCATCCATTTTTATCACCATTTATCCAGATTAATGTCTATAGTTAGTTACTATTTCCACTTAAATATGTCTATAGATGTCTATAGTTAGTGAGTTATTATACCTATATATAGTTAGTTAGTGAGTTATATACCATAAATAGATCTAAAACCTGGCCGGGGCCAAGGCTGGGGACCACTGCGGTGGCGGTGCTCTATGACCGGGTGCATAGCACAGTGGAGGTCTGCCGAGTTGCTTCAGTGCATAGCACGGTGCGTACCGGTGGAAATGAAAAGATGGGAGCATCCTACGAACAATGTGATTTTTCCCTATGAAACCCTCTGGCTATGACTAACATACCCATGGTATAGATGGCCCATAGAAATAGAGGTTTACCGTTCTTAAAAATGGGTGGATCTTTCCATGGCCATGTTAAATAACCAGATGGTAAATGGATGAAAATGATTTCAATTGGTGATACACCCTCTGGTGATTGAAGAGTTTGCGAATTGGACAATTTGCCAATTTGTAGATGATTTACGATGATTTACCTGTTAAAATGGTGATTTTCCAGTTCGCCACGTTGATTTCCCAGAGGGTAAATGATTATTAGACAATAAATGTCTTTAAACTGATTTTACAATACACTAATAGGACAGCATTGTGATAAAATAATAATTTCTCGAAGACGGAAAACAACAAGATTGATGGTTGGAAATGGGCGTCTAAAACACACATATATATAAACATAAACTTATATAAAAACCATCTTAAATGGATGATCCCAAGGATTCCCAAGGTGTATTTCCGGTCCTCGAAACACAGGCGTGGATGTCTTTGCTTACGACCTCGGCTGTTGCTTGGTGCAGGAATGACCTGAGAAAACCACCGGATGGCCTTTTTCGTATCACGGAACTGGGGCGATTGGTGGCGATCACCATATATATATATATATCACTATATATATCACTATATATATATATATATCACTATATATATATATCACTATATATCACCATATAAATATCACCTAGTCTTGGTGTTTCTGCCATTTGATCTTTTTGCCACGAAGACTTCGTTTGCGGCAGAAACTTGGCAACTTGGCCCTACTGCCTGTTGGTTGAACGAAGACTCGGGTAGCGAAATTTCGCAGTGCGAAGGTCTGTTAGTTGATAGTTTAACCATGTTTAACCAAGGAATAAGGAGTTAACAATGTGGGATGGGTAAGAACCAATATTTTGTTGGCCATTGAACATCCATTCAACACAACACACTTCGTTGAGTGATTTCATTATTGGACGCACTCCTCCTTGTCGCCATAAGAACTACACCTATAACATCCTATAACTGACTATGCTGACTAGCATGGCTCAAAATGGGTTTCACTCTGACAGTAAGAATCCTGGGACAGTTAGAACCTCTGATTTCGAGACATGCCCAATGATAGTTGGCTAAGGTTTTTCCGATTTTCCTCCTTCTCGTTGCGAAAAAAGCCACAGGAACTATTCTGGTTGGCATGTCCCAAAATATTTCTTGTTCTCTGCCCTTTCGACCCAGTGATTGCTGTGATCCGTTGATCCCAGAGGAGTTTTTTGATGCGGGGAAATTCACAGGGTCCATGGTCCATGGTAGGTCAACATGTGCGGCTTTGCCCCCAAAAAATTGATACTTCGTCATCATTTTCCAATTCAAAGGGCCATAAGAGATAGGTTTTCCATGGCTATTCCCTTTGTATCCCCCATTTTCAGACACAGCTACGTACGTCAAGCCCCGAAAAAACCTGGATGGTTTCAGCTGTACGAGGTGATCTTCATCATTCTATCTGGCATAGTGCTTCTGACGAGGGACCTCACCTTCCTCTCCCACCATTTGTTAAGGCGGCGTTTCACGGTGGAAACTGAGGAGAACACAACTGCCTTGATGTACAATGGTTTCTACACATATATATATATATAATATTGCACCTATACATGTACATAATATGTATATACTGTATATATAATATCTAATGTATAATACATTAAACATGAATCATAGTACATAAGTAATACATAGTACATGATACATAATACATAGTTGATATACACAATACATAAGACACATCATTACATATATATATACTGTATATATATATATGTATATATATACACATGTACAGTATATGCATTCAATCCAAACTATTCTCCAAGAGTGGTTGGGTCCTTGAACTCAGTGTTTTTTTTTTGCCGTGGCACATCTGGTAACTTCAGCACCCAGAAAGCCCCTGGCCATCTTATCTGAATACATTATAGGGACCTCACTTGGACCCAACCATGATTTATAATGGGTAATTATTCTAAATGGGCTTACAGTATGTTTGATTTGGGAATTATGTGAATTTGCCCGGATCTCAGAAAGCCTTTCTCAAAATCGAGCACTGCATGATTTGCGCAGAATTTTATGGATCGAAAGCAAGGCAAATCTGCGGTCGTTGGGTCATACTGCCCCCCAAGATTGGATGCCTCACCAAGACCACACTCCTGATTTTGTTGGGCGATGTGCATCCCAGTCAGCAATGGGGTTTTAGCGGTTCACAACTCGTTTTGACTGGGGTTTAACCCCTATAATATATTATATATAATGATATACATATATATATACACATAATAATATATAATAATATTTATTGTTATACATACATATATATATATTTTAATAATAGTAATAATAATGATAATAATAATGATATATATATATATACAATTGATCAAGTACATATGAATATATATATATATACATACAATATATATATATATATATCTGTTATGAATGGAAAGAAACCCATGGACATGAACCACAGACGAACTGGCAGCTTTTCTTTTTTTTTGTTTCGCATCCGAAGCTGCGAGGCCGCTCCGGGATTTGGCGGACGAGATGGAGAGTATTGCGCAGCTGCAACTTGCAGGGGTCTCCAACACTGAGGAGGAGGAGGTCGCTCGGAGAACTCGTGAATTCTCCATTTTTTTTTTGGAGGTTTCTTATAACGAAAAAAAAATCATAAAAAGAAAAACCAAAGCCATGAATGAAATGAAACATGGGTCATTTTGATGTCATCTTTTTTTGAAACCATTGGGTTTGGTACTGGGAACGGCTTTGGGATGGTATGGAGGACCACAAATTTGCAGCAGCCAAGTCGAAGTAGGGAAGTGCATGAAAGGCTGACCAATAAATATTGCTGGGTGGTTTCACTCATTTCTTTTTTGAACATCCCCTACAATGGGAGTGTGATCACAATTGACTTTTTTGTCAATTTTTTGAAGGCAAAACTTGGGAGACGAGACTTTCCCTGCAGACCTGATACTGCTAACACAAACCAAATTTGCTAAATCCACAATTTCTTGGAGAATAGTTGCTACAGCGAAACTCCGCAACAATTCAAGAAACACACATGCCTTTTTCGGGTAAAAACTTTTACTTCTCCATCTTTGTTCCTTGATCATTATGATCAAAAATATGTATTATGATCAATCATTATGATGAATAAATATCATTAGATATCAATAATATGTCACATGATTTTATGATCATTATGATCAATAGTTGTGTGTTTCATTCTGTTTTTTTTAGGTGTGTGTTAAACACCCAATTTTCACCACAGACCTCCTGGTGATCATGGCGCCGTGGCGCAGGTGGGAGAGGAGGCAGAGACCAGTGAGGTGTTGTTAATTCGAAGGACCGGCTGGGCGCCGATGGGGATCCCAACTTAGTTTTTTTCTGCAATTTGTTTTTTTGTCCCACCCTTCCCATACTACCTGGGATTCAAGGTTCAAGATTCAAGACCTAGAAGAATCTTCTTGAATTCAAGGGGGCTTGAACCTGGAATCTTGAAAAAAGAGAGACTAGATTCAAGATTTTTTTCTGAGCCTTGAATCTTGAATCTTGAAACCAGAGAGGCTAGATTCAAGAAGTTCTTTTCTGAGCATTTCTTTAATAAGACATCTGTTGGTCCATGCAGTATTCATTTGAAACAGCAATACATTTAGAACAGAGGTGTAGTGTAGCATCACTTTTTGTTGCAGTGTTCCATTGAAAGGAGGGACACATTCTTTAAACATGGTTGGGGGCATTCCTTCAAGATAATATAACATTGCTTTGTCATAGAATGCTTCTACGGATGTAGTAATATTGTACTTGGAAAAAATCTTAGTTTCAACAAAAATCCCTGAATAGATGCGGTACTCTCTTGAAGTAGTATTCTGAAAGAAGTTTAAAAGTGTAGCATCACATTGGCAATTTTCCATGACGAAAAGTAACACATTTCTGGAAAATAGTGTAGTGCAGTATTAAAAAAAATGTAACGTGGTCTAAATTAGTATCCTTGTCTAGATGCAGTAGTAGTACTTTGAAAGCGCCTAGCCTTTCAAGGCTTAGTATTCCTTGGGAAAGGACAGAAACATGGTGGAACATTCCTCTGAAATGCACCGCACTACTTTACTACAGATTTGTTTAATGAGATGCATTACTTTTTTGAAATCGTATAGTGGTATATACAACAGTTTCTTTGTCTAAGAGTGTTGTATCATGACCATTGACTATTGTGTTCTTTTAAGAGGGTGTAGCACTGACAGAGTGGGCAACACCATTCAAAGAGACCTGCAAAATGTGCAGTATTGCTCTAGAAAAGGATGCCACCTGTGGAAAACAACCAGTACTACTTGAGTCTTGAACTCAACAACTTCCTGACAAGAGTTCCTTCAAAAACATCTTGAAAACAAAACAAGAGAACATGTTTCAGATTCTGTGGTGAAATGTTGCATCAAGCAAAGGTAAAGACATGAACAATATATTCAAACCTTGCATGTGGCCACAGTGCCATGCCCATTTTTTACATGTTTGAACTTCAACGACCTCCTAAGCTCACAATACAGTAACCAAATACATGTACAGTACACATGTGCATGTACATGTACATGTACATGTACATTGCATGGGTATTTGTATGTGTATTTGTATATGTATATATGTATATTGTATATGTATATATGTGTATATGCATATATGGATATGTATATATGTATGTATGTATGTATTGTAATGTAATGTAATGTAATGTAATGTAATGTAATGTAATGTAATGTAATGTAATGTATATAATGTAATGTATGTATGTATGTATGTAATGTATGTATTGTATTGTATTGTATTGTATTGTATTGTATTGTATGGTAATGTAATGTAATGTAATGTAATGTAATGTAATGTATGTATGTATATATGTATATATGTATATATGTATATATGTACATATGTATATGTATATATAGATATGTGTTTGTATATATGTACATACATATATATATACATATACAAATATGTGTATGTATATATGTATATGTGTAGGTTTTTTTTGCGCCGTTCCCATCTGAAAAGGTACTTTTCTGCTGTAGTGCTACAACAAGTGACAATATAAGCAGTGAGAAAAGGGATGTCGAGGACACATCTACTACCCAAAAGGTAGGTCTTGGGGGGGGTGCATATGCATATATATATATAATTATATATAGGCATATATATATAATTATATATACACATATGTATCTTTATTGGGTCTATAAGCAGTTTGTTGGGTTTACGTCAACTGGGTCACTCTTTCCCAGAGTTCTCGAGTTCTCTGGGGAGGACCTTTGGGAACATGAAAAAGGCCGTGCGGAGCTGGGGAAAGTACGTGCCCTGGCCCGTGTCTTGGCGACGATGGCACCGGGGTAACTGGGGAGGATGGCTGCTGAAGTAACTGGGGAGGAAGCTTAAATTGTATATATATATACACATATTATATAGGAACCCCAGAGATGAACATATTAAGTCATAGGAAATATCAATTATAAAGCACGTTGGACATATTTTGTAATTCATGATGATGGAACATCTCCATTAGAAGCTGAGAGATGATGACTGACGACAACGACGACGACGACGACGATGATGACGACGACGACGACGAGGACGATGGCGACAATGACAAGAAGCTACTTACAACTATCTCTATATATATATACACATACACAGACACTTTTATGCACAGGGTACTCGCAGGTGAAGATGCTACGATCACGGTATTGTGGTTTCCCATTGGTCAACCATGAGGTGGTGCAGCTACTGCTGCGCGCTGGAGATGAAGCAAAGTTGGAAGTAAAAGAAAGGGAGGCGTGCGGGAGGATTGGCCGAAACCTGACATGTGGATGAGTCAAAACCCAAAGATAACTGGTGAATGGATGTTCATCCCCCGAAGAATGGTGGCTTTTGATCAATCCCCAGATTGTGCCGAAGCAGTGATATTCACATCGAAATTAAGTGGTGATATTCCAGGCTTTGATAGTGACCCAATTTTCCTGGTCAGTCTAACCTGGTGCTGGAAAATCGCCCAATTGTATCCATGAATAGATTATTTTGATTGATTTTCCAATGTCATATTTCTTTCATTTAGAATAATCAATTTCTTTAAAATTTGTTTAGATGATTATCCCATGAAACACACACACACACATACATATATATATATATATTTCAGCAAAACTCCGAAAAGGACCCGGGGCCGAAAAACACGCGTAGTACGTCCCGGGGCCGTTTGTTGCGGTAGAGGTGACCATGTTCTTCTCCGACATCGCCAACTTCACCACGATTGTGGATGAGCCGATGGGGGGAATTTAGGAATTGACCCAACAAAATGGAAATTAAAATACCCTCTGGTAATTTAACATAGCAATGGAAAATCCCCATTTTTCATGGGAAAATCCACTATAAATAGCCATTTTCCATTGCTATGTTAGTTCACCAGAGGGTAAACAACAAAAATAAAGAAAACAAGCTGGGGGTTCGAATCAACAAATGGGGAGTTTTTTACATGACGCATTGATTTTATATGGGTATGCTTGATGTAATATGATGCAACTGCAGAATGGAGACTTTTGCTGGTTGAGTAAGGGCTACGGGAAAGAGTAGGAACATCACATAAATAGGCAGTTTTCATCAGTTTTCAATCAAACCAGGTTGGATTTCCATAGGGTATGCAATCTGGTGGTTGGTGGTTTGAAGTTTTCGGGCATTATTTGCATAATTTGGATCAAATTGGGTGAACAGCAAACATCATCAACATTGGCATATTTAGAGCCTATCTGCTGGAGTTTTCACCCTGAGGCAGTTGGATTCTCAAACCTCCCTAGGTTCCAATCGACAATTCTTCCTTGGTATCCATATGGCCCGTATGTGTCTCAAAATAGGTTACCGGTGGTACCCAAATCTGATGGCTGATCATCATTTTCTCATCATCTTCTCCATAAAATGACCATAAATTATCATGAGTTCTCCATACTCCATACAATGACCATAAAATGACCATAAATGATCATAAATTATCATACATTCTCCATAAATTCTCCATAAAATGACCATAAATGATCATAAATTGGGGTATTCCATGGTATTCCTCATTTTCAGACCTGAAATCACTGGTTGATCGGGATCGATTTTTTCAGGTGGAGAGTATCGAACCTGCGAGCTGTTTGCTGCTTCTCAGTCGCTACTTCAACGCCATGTCCAAGGTTGGAAAAGCGATGGGGCCCCCAAAAATGGGGGGAGAACACCCACCTGGTTGAGGCAGATTATTGAATGCCTGTTATGAATGAAGTTACTTATATAACTATTGGAGTTGGCAAGCTGCCTGGTTTATTGGGATTATGATTGATAATTTGTGATGAGAATACGCACCAATTTTTGTCCGTCCTTCTGTACCAGTGGATGTTTTTTTTTTTTTTCCCCGGAGATTTCTCATGACCCTTGGCAGGTCATTGAGGACCACGGGGGAGTAGTCCTGGAGTTCATTGGGGATGCCATTCAATGCATCTACGGTGCACCGCTGCACAATGAGAGCCACCCTATCTATGCCGTGGAGGCCATGCAAAATATGGCGCCACTGGACACCAAAAATGGGACAGATTCAACCTGAGATGTACCTAGGATACATATATATATATATACATACATACATACATACATATACATACTGATTGGTGGTTTCAAACTTTTTTATTTTTCGCATCATATTGGGAATGTCATCATCCCAACCGGTTCCGAACTCCATCATTTTTCAGAGGGGTAGGTATACCACCAACCAGATATACATGGTAAACCAATAGGTGAATCTGATGGGTGATCTGATGCATCCAGTGGACAACTTTCAATTGTTGGATGACTTTCCGAAGGCTTGGCTGCTCCGTTTTTCCCATTCCACCTGCTCGAGGATGGGTAGATTTAAATGGGTTTGTCAACAAAATGAGGGTATACCCCGAACCAATCATATTAATCAGATGAATCAGTCAGTTTTCTGCAAAATCTCAATGCTCAATGGACATCATCTATTCTTGTCCCATTCAAATGGGTTTCTCTGAAGATTTTAGGGGACAAACAACGAAAACATCGCATGGTTGATCATCATTTTGCCATATTTTTCATGGCAATTTCATGGGGGCTACAGCCCCCCATTTCCACACCCGACTTTTTTTTTGTGCCCAGACCCTGGTCTGCAGGCTGCCCTGCGAATGCTGAATGCCTTGCGGAGGATCAAGGAATGGTGCCAGGAGCAGAACCTGCCGGAGGTCGGTATCAGGTGGGAGCCACAGGGGGATTTCGGAGGAGAACTGATGGATTTTTGGCGGATTTGGGAACCATTGGCAAATTGGATGGAGGAGATGTTTGATGTATTTTGAAGTGTTTTTTTGGGAAAGCGCTAACATATTCGGGAATTTGAGGGGGTTTGACCCTGTCCGTACTTTAGAAACCAGCCTGCGCTGGGGCGCTATCAAAAGACATAGGCTGCTTATGTTTTTCCTTTTGGTATCCAATATAATCTTCGATATTCAGAAGATGTAGGTGAATCATCAAACACCATCACGAACCACAACCCAAACTTTGCACTGTTGGTCGAATCGGTTTTTGTTCAAAAAATGGTCAAGCCTCCGCAAAGTGGACAGGTTTTTCCACGACCACAACTCTGTTTCAGGTGTGGCATCCACACTGGCCGAGTGCTGGTGGGCAACATGGGCTTCCACTCACGCATGAAATATGGCATTGTGGGTCACTTGGTGAATGTCTCCGCGAACGGGGTCAACGGTCCCCCACCATGGCTTGGTTTGTCTGAAAATAGGGGTACCCAATAGATGGATGGTTTATTTCATGGAAATTCCCAAAGGAAAATGGATGATACCTGAAGGTAGCCCCATTTTATGAAACCTCCATATTCGTGTATATCTTAAACCTGGCTGATTCGTTGGTTGCAACCATAAAGTGATGATTTGCTGTGTAAATGGACCCAATCGAAGAAGCCAGGGGTTTGTGAATCTGCGGCCAACATTGCAGAACAATATTTTGAAACTGTAAACTGAAACCTCCAAGCTTTCCTATGACAGGTTTTGGGTGACATTGGGTTGATGTGAACTGTTTGACTCTCACAAAATGCACGCTGGGACCGTTCTCAGCATATTGCTGGCACCTCACTAATCCGTCAACATCCCACCCTAACCCAAAACAAAATCAACTTTCACTTGAGCACTGTCAACAACCCATCAACAAAAAGAGGTTCTACTAAGCTCTCCAGGGATCAGCCAGCAATCCATTACGGGAATAGCTATGAAAGCAGAACCAGTTACCAGGTCAACTTGACGCTGCTCACTTGACTTCTGGCTGTAGATCGCCAACGTGTCCAAATTTCACTGGTCATATTATCATTGAGCCATCCAATTTTGAGGGTCGATTATTATCATACCCAATTATACAACTTTAGTGTTGTTGGCACATTTCAGGTTTGTGAATACTTCAAGATACTTTAAGAGTATGTATGAATTAAATACCATATGTAGACCTATATAGACCTCATAAATATAGAAAAATATTCTTTTTATATAATCTATCTATATGTATAATATGTATTATATATAGCTAGCGTGATCCAGATCATCTATGGATAGATTCTCCGTCACCCACATTTCGCCGAGGTGAGGAGTCCACCATTGCTGGTCGGCTGGAGGACTGCGACCTTGATGCTGAAATGTGTATATGTTACAATGTTGGTTAAATGTACCATGACATATGATAGACAACATCTAGTCTATCTAGTCTATCTAGTCTATCTACAGTAGTCTATCTAGTCTATCTAGTCTACAGTAGTCTATCTAGTCTTATCTAGTCTATCTACAGTAGTCTATCTAGTCTATCTAGTCTCTATCTAGTCTAGTCTACAGTAGTCTATCTAGTCTTATCTAGTCTATCTACAGTAGTCTATCTAGTCTTATCTAGTCTATCTACAGTAGTCTATCTAGTCTATCTAGTCTATCTACAGTAGTCTATCTAGTCTTATCTAGTCTATCTACTATCTAGTCTTATCTAGTCTATCTACAGTAGTCTATTAGTCTATCTAGTCTATCTAGTCTATCTAGTCTAGTCTCTAGTCTAGTCTATCTAGTCTATAGTCTTCTAGTCTATCTACAGTAGTCTTATCTAGTCTATCTACAGTAGTCTATCTAGTCTTATCTAGTCTATCTACAGTAGTCTATCTAGTCTTATCTAGTATCTAGTCTATCTAGTCTATCTAGTCTATCTACAGTAGTCTATCTAGTCTATCTAGTCTATCTACAGTAGTCTATCTAGTCTTATCTAGTCTATCTACAGTAGTCTATCTAGTCTATCTAGTCTATCTACAGTAGTCTATCTAGTCTTATCTAGTCTATCTACAGTAGTCTATCTAGTCTTATCTAGTCTATCTACAGTAGTCTATCTAGTCTTATCTAGTCTATCTACAGTAGTCTATCTAGTCTTATCTAGTCTATCTACAGTAGTCTATCTAGTATATCTAGTATATCTAGTCTATCTATCTAGTAGTCTATCTATCTTATCTAGTCTATCTACAGTAGTCTATCTAGTCTTATCTAGTCTATCTACAGTAGTCTATCTAGTCTATCTAGTCTATCTAGTCTATCTAGTCTATCTAGTCTATCTACAGTAGTCTATCTAGTCTAATCTAGTCTATCTACAGTAGTCTATCTAGTCTTATCTAGTCTATCTACAGTAGTCTATCTAGTCTATCTAGTCTATCTACAGTAGTCTATCTAGTCTTATCTAGTCTATCTACAGTAGTCTATCTAGTCTTATCTAGTCTATCTACAGTAGTCTATCTAGTCTATCTAGTCTATCTACAGTAGTCTATCTAGTCTTATCTAGTCTATCTACAGTAGTCTATCTAGTCTTATCTAGTCTATCTACAGTAGTCTATCTAGTCTATCTAGTCTATCTACAGTAGTCTATCTAGTCTTATCTAGTCTATCTACAGTAGTCTATCTAGTCTTATCTAGTCTAGCTACAGTAGTCTATCTAGTCTATCTAGTCTATCTACAGTAGTCTATCTAGTCTTATCTAGTCTATCTACAGTAGTCTATCTAGTCTTATCTAGTCTATCTACAGTAGTCTATCTAGTCTTATCTAGTCTATCTACAGTAGTCTATCTAGTCTTATCTAGTCTATCTACAGTAGTCTATCTAGTCTTATCTAGTCTATCTACAGTAGTCTATCTAGTCTTATCTAGTCTATCTACAGTAGTCTATCTAGTCTTATCTAGTCTATCTACAGTAGTCTATCTACAGTAGTCTTATCTAGTCTATCTACAGTAGTCTATCTGTCTTATCTAGTCTATCTACAGTAGTCTATCTAGTCTTATCTAGTCTATCTACAGTAGTCTATCTAGTCTTATCTAGTCTATCTACAGTAGTCTATCTACAGTAGTCTTATCTAGTCTATCTACAGTAGTCTATCTAGTCTATCTAGTCTATCTACAGTAGTCTATCTAGTCTTATCTAGTCTATCTACAGTAGTCTATCTAGTCTTATCTAGTCTATCTACAGTAGTCTATCTAGTCTTATCTAGTCTATCTACAGTAGTCTATCTAGTCTTATCTAGTCTATCTACAGTAGTCTATCTAGTCTTATCTAGTCTATCTACAGTAGTCTATCTAGTCTTATCTAGTCTATCTACAGTAGTCTATCTAGTCTTATCTAGTCTATCTACAGTAGTCTATCTAGTCTATCTAGTCTATCTACAGTAGTCTATCTAGTCTTATCTAGTCTATCTACAGGAGTCTATCTAGTCTTATCTCGTCTATCTACAGTAGTCTATCTAGTCTATCTAGTCTATCTATAGTAGTCTATCTAGTCTTATCTAGTCTATCTACAGTAGTCTATCTAGTCTTATCTAGTCTATCTACAGTAGTCTATCTAGTCTTATCTAGTCTATCTACAGTAGTCTATCTAGTCTTATCTAGTCTATCTACAGTAGTCTATCTAGTCTATCTAGTCTATCTACAGTAGTCTATCTAGTCTATCTAGTCTTATCTAGTCTATCTACAGTAGTCTATCTAGTCTTATCTAGTCTTATCTAGTCTATCTACAGTAGTCTATCTAGTCTATCTAGTCTATCTACAGTAGTCTATCTAGTCTATCTACAGTAGTCTATCTAGTCTTATCTAGTCTATCTACAGGAGTCTATCTAGTCTTATCTAGTCTATCTACAGTAGTCTATCTAGTCTTATCTAGTTTATCTACAGTAGTCTATCTAGTCTTATCTAGTCTATCTACAGTAGTCTATCTAGTCTTATCTAGTCTATCTACAGTAGTCTATCTAGTCTATCTAGTCTATCTACAGTAGTCTATCTAGTCTTATCTAGTCTATCTACAGTAGTCTATCTAGTCTTATCTAGTCTATCTACAGTAGTCTATCTAGTCTTATCTAGTCTATCTACAGTAGTCTATCTAGTCTTATCTAGTCTATCTACAGTAGTCTATCTAGTCTTATCTAGTCTATCTACAGTAGTCTATCTAGTCTTATCTAGTCTATCTACAGTAGTCTATCTAGTCTATCTAGTCTATCTACAGTAGTCTATCTAGTCTTATCTAGTCTATCTACAGGAGTCTATCTAGTCTTATCTCGTCTATCTACAGTAGTCTATCTAGTCTATCTAGTCTATCTACAGTAGTCTATCTAGTCTTATCTAGTCTATCTACAGTAGTCTATCTAGTCTTATCTAGTCTATCTACAGTAGTCTATCTAGTCTTATCTAGTCTATCTACAGTAGTCTATCTAGTCTTATCTAGTCTATCTACAGTAGTCTATCTAGTCTTATCTAGTCTATCTACAGTAGTCTATCTAGTCTTATCTAGTCTATCTACAGTAGTCTATCTAGTCTTATCTAGTCTATCTACAGTAGTCTATCTAGTCTTATCTAGTCTATCTACAGTAGTCTATCTAGTCTATCTAGTCTATCTACAGTAGTCTATCTAGTCTTATCTAGTCTATCTACAGGAGTCTATCTAGTCTTATCTAGTCTATCTACAGTAGTCTATCTAGTCTACCTAGTCTATCTATAGTAGTCTATCTAGTCTTATCTAGTCTATCTACAGTAGTCTATCTAGTCTACCTAGTCTATCTATAGTAGTCTATCTAGTCTTATCTAGTCTATCTACAGTAGTCTATCTAGTCTATCTAGTCTATCTACAGTAGTCTATCTAGTCTTATCTAGTCTATCTACAGTAGTCTATCTAGTCTTATCTAGCCTATCTACAGTAGTCTATCTAGTCTTATCTAGTCTATCTACAGTAGTCTATCTAGTCTTATCTAGTCTATCTACAGTAGTCTATCTAGTCTATCTAGTCTATCTACAGTAGTCTATCCAGTCTTATCTAGTCTATCTACAGTAGTCTATCTAGTCTATCTACAGTAGTCTATCTAGTCTATCTAGTCTATCTAGTCTATCTATCAATCAGTCAATCAATCAAGCTATCATATATCTAAATATTTATCTACCTATCTAGCTATCTATCTAGTCATTGATCTATCTATCTATCTATCTATCTAATTATCTAATCTAATGTATCTATCTATCTATCCATCTATCTATCTCTCTATCTAGCTTTCTATCTAGCTATCTACCTAGCTATCAATCTAGCTATCAATCTAGCTATCAATCTAGCTATCAATCTATCAATCTAGCTATCAATCTAGCTATCTAGCAGTCTAGCTATGTCATCTCAATCTCAATCTAATCTCAATCTAATCTCAATCTCAATCTAATCTCAATCTAATCTCAATCTCAATCTAATCTCAATCTACTGTAATCTCAATCTCAATCTAATCTCAATCTCATCTAATCAATCTAATCTATCTAACCTATCTAATCTATCTAATCTATCTATCTAATCTATCTAATCTATCCAATCTATCCAATCTAATCATATCGAATCTATCTAATCTATCTATCTATCTAATCTATCTATCTAATTTATCTAATCAATCTATCTAATCTATCTAATCTATCTAATCTATCTAATCTATCTAATCTATCTAATCTATCTAATCTATCTAATCTATCTAATCTAAATCTAATCTAATCTAATCTAATCTAATCTAATCTAATCTAATCTAATCTAATCTAATCTATCTAGTCTGTCTAATCTATCTAATTTATCTAATCTAGGTATCTAATCCATCTCTATCTCCATCTCTGTTTCTATGTCTCTATGTCTCTATGTCTCTATGTATCTATGCATCTCGATCTCTCTGTCTAGCTATCTATCTGTTTTGGATAACAGTATATAGTGTACAGGGCACACTGTGATGATACACATGATAGATATATGATGTATACAGATAGACGCATGTCCAGCTTATGACTGTGGCTTTGATACCTGCTGCACAGCAGTGTGGCCGCGCCAGGAGCTCAATAAGACCTACAAGACGAAGATTTTGATCTCTGAAACTTGGAGGATGCAGATCTACCTCATTGTTACGGTGGATGGTTGCAAAATCCTGCACCAGTTGATAGGTGGTTTGTCCATGTTTGTCCCATTATCTATAGGGTTTCAACCATCCGTTAGGTGATGCAGGATTTCGCTGGCCCATCCACAGTATCAACAAACGAAAGGATGTGGGGTTTTCCAAGATTTTCAGACAGTTTTCCATTTCATGGAACATTCGGCCAGATTCAGAAGCATTATCACCGAAACATGGGTACCCTTAATGGGTAATTCCAGAGGATTACAAAAAATCATCACCAAAATGCCACTGAATAGCGACAATCATACCCATTCTTGGACAAAGCCATTCATGGTTCAGTGAATTTCAACATCACAGATGCACTGATGGTATTTAGATGTGCATATCGATACACAATCGTTTCCCATGTGTAAACACATAAATTGTGTATTTTCTCGACAGTTTGTCTGCCAGAAACAACAAAGTGATGAAACTTGCTTTGAGTTTCTTGAAGTTTCTTGGATACTGCCGCGCCTAGGAGAGTACTCATAACAACCTTGGGCCACATGAGTACTTCATTCGACCCGTGGATTTCGTGCATCTAAGACAGGTGCCGGATGGTCATCATGATTGCCAAAGAGATGACCATATCCCATGAATCCAATATGAATCCCATGTAGCTTGACCATGGCAATTCCACTGATTGCCATCCATTGCCATCCTGGCCATCTTTGGACAACTTTCACTCTGACGTTTTTATTTATTGATAGAAATGATAGAAAATGATAGAAATAGCATGATTAATATATTTTAATCTATTTTGAAAAGGGTGTTAGACGCAGTTTTGCAGTTTTGTATTTGTTCTACGCATTTTGGGGTGGCCCTAGGATTAGATTCTCCCGATATCCCTATGATTTTCTCTGATTCATATACTATCTCTTTTTTTTGGATACTACATTGGGATCCCAATGGCCCCTTTTTCCGGAGTATGTCATACAATATCCCATTTCTATCCAGGAATTTTCCAATTTCCCAATATCCCTGGCTTGGTGTTCCCAATCCAATTGGACCTGGCTTGCTGGAAAACCACTCAGACTTAGTGAACGATGAAAAAATCCCAGCTGACTTTAATGAAGAGTCGGGATTAACCAGCTATGTCAACTTGCGAGAGGATGGGTACATATCATCAGTATGTTCATGAAATATCCCAAGTATGGTTAGTTGAACCCTCAACTGTTGAGCATAGATGGTGTTTTTCCACCAAAAAAAAGGGTACCCCTCAATCTGCAGGTTATTAATGATTTTTCCTTTCAAAGTGGCGTTTGAGTATACCCCATGTTCAGACACACCCACATCATATTGTTGCTAATACATTACATCCCAGTATATCCATATACAGTATATATATATGGGGATATAAGTATATATTTATATACATATATATATATATATTTATATTCGTATATATATATATATTTATACATATATATATTTATATCCTGTCCATATATATATATTTATATCCATATATATATATATCCCCATATATTTATATCCCCATATATATATCCGATATATATATATATACGATATATATATACGATATATATATATATATCCACATATATATATATGTATCCCCTTTATATTTCCATTAACGTCGATTAAAGCCAACAGGCCAACATGGTGTCTCCCTGATTTTTGCTCCAGGTGCAAGGTGCCAGTAGCGAGCTGGTCTATGAGGCCTTTAGGGTGGTGATACATCCATATACTATGGTACATACAAGCCCTGGATATATGTATGTCTCTACACATATGTATATAAGTCTATACATATGTATATACATGTATCTATCTATCTATCGATCTATCTATCTATCTAGCTATCTATCTATCTATCTAGTTATCTGTCTATCTGTCTATCAGTCTATCAGTCTATATGTCTATCTGTCTATTTGTCTATCTACCTACCTACTATCTATCGATCGATCTATCTATCTATCTATCTATCTAATTATCTAATCTAATCTATCTATCTATCTAATCTAATCTAATCTAATCTAATCTAATCTAATCTATCTATCTATCTATCTATCTATATCTATCTATCTATATCTATCTATATCTATCTATATCTATCTATATCTATCTATATCTATCTATCTATATCTATCTATCTATATCTATCTATCTATATCTATCTATCTGTCTGTCTGTCTGTCTATCTATCTATCTATCTATCTGTGTATATATATATACACATTTATATCATACATTTGTAGATAGATGTATGGATGGATGGATGGGTAGATGTATGGATAGATGGATATGAAGGTTTTCGAGGGATTTCTCCGTGGGGATGGAAGATTCAAACATGGGTTGATAGGACTTGGACTCAGACGAGACTTAAAGTGGGATAAGTGGGTTTGTGAGCTAATCGTAATCCTTAGATTGAGAATTCTTACCAAAATCAATTAGAATACAAGTGGTCCCCTCTTCCGTGTAGAAGGGGGTTACAGTTGGGCACTGCTGGGAGGGGTTCGTTCGGCTATTCTGAGCATTTCACCCAAGGAATAGCTATCCTGATACTTCCATAAAGGGGATATTTGTTGGAATAATTGACCTGAAATCTTTTTGGCCGGGTTGCCAAAGATGGGTTGCCACAAAGAAAGGAACCCGCCTTTTTGGATTCCAGTTTTCAGGAGGATCATGTTTAAAGTTACCAAAAAGGGTGTAAAGGGTGCAGGATTTCCTTGATTTTCCCCAGGATTGTATTCATTACATTAGCCAAAATCATCGAACCAATGGGCTATATATCCTGTAAACTAAGTATAGCTATAGAATTCCAAAGTGACTTCCATGGGTTTACCGTTCGGAAATGATCTACATTTTGTGGATTTTCATGGCTTTTCCATGTCTTTTAAACTATATTTCGATGGCTCCTCGCACTTTACAGGTCATCCCCATGAAAGCGAAGCGGTTGCTAGGCTGCAAGGCATTCATTGGCCCAAATTGGGGGCGAACATGGGCGACACTTCGCTGCTAGGGCCTAGGGCCTAGGGTGAAATTGAAGCCAGCATTCTGTAAAAATCTTCCATCTTGAAAAAGGGGTGATCCCTCAAGACTGAGTTTGATGGCTGTGTGACCACGACATTCCGACCAGACCAAGACGTCTACGTTACACATACTTGGGTCTGGCCAAAAAACTGGGAAATGGACCCGCCAAACCATTCTTCCTCTGCTGTTAGATGAGCGATTTTCATCCATTTTCCATGGCTATGTTAGTTTACTGGAGGGTATATCCCCACTATTGTTATATGATCCTTTGCAACAACATCCCCATATATAGGCCAGATGGTTCCTCAAGTTCGTTCGCGAGTGGGCGGTATTGGGAGACATACGCAGAGCAAGTGACTCACCATAGAAAAACCAATTTTTCCAAACATTGAGGCATCGGCATACATTCCCATTTCATTATCTTTCATCATCGGCATCGTCCCCAATGATGGCGCCCGAACCCTCGAGCCCCAAAAAAAAGGCCTTCAGTGGTGAACCGCATCATCTCGCTACATGCGGAGGCGATGTACGAATACCGGAGACTGGAGTGTCATGGCGGGATCATGGTGAACCGAAAGCCATGGGATGTTTGGGACGACTTTCGTCATAAATTTTGGAGATTCCTCCAAACCATCACCAGAAACAGATACCGTAGAAGGGATTCAATATTGATCACTATTTTTGGATTGGATTTGGGGAACTTCTGAATCTTTCTTTTGGCGTTGCTATAGCTGCTATAGTGAGTGCTACTCGTTTTTTTTATTTGGAGGAACCAGGGATGAAAAAATTGGATGACGGCCTGGGAGGGTTCAAGTTCCCAAGGATTTTCCATTGATTTTGGGGGAATGAACATCTATTCAATGGATTGGTTTAGGGGAAAATTTACAGGAAAACTCCCTATTTAATGGTAAAAACCATGGTTTCCTGTAAATTTTCCCTAAAACCAATCCACTGATCTATAACTCCCAGCGAGTTTCATGTGAAGGGTACAGGGGAGTTTGATTCAGAGCCACACTTTTCCTATGAAACAATGCTGAAAAACGGTGATTTGAGCTACAAATATGGATTGACCATGATTGATCCACCCAACACGGGGTTGAAGACCAAGAACAACTACGGGTTTTGAGTGAATGGGGATTTCGCCTTTGTTGGCGAAGAAAAAAGGTGGAGTTGAGTTGAGTGAAGCAAAGTTGGGAAGCCATTCAGAATATACACGTATATACACATAACATACACACATAACACACACACACAAATTAAATTCTTGGCGGTTTCAAAGCCAAAGGCGGGGCTTGTCATCTACAGGTACCAATGCTGGGAGATTGGGCTATCACGCATGGGACATATAATTGGAGAAAATGTGGGACAAATCATATTCGGTTTGATAATCCATCCCTGAAAATGGAGAAAATGGTATGGGTTGCACACAGTGTATTTTTGGTTCATTTTGTTTTGATATTTTTGTCTGGCCAACGGCCCATATTCTTGCTCAAACCCAAGTATGTTTGGCTTCAGTGACTCTGACACTTAGTAGCAATTGAAGCTGTTGTATGAACTGCTCAACGGCTCCGGACGCAGTGGCTACTTGCTGATCCCTCATTAGTTTGATTTTCGTTTCAGGCCCCCCTATCCATGTGGTTGTAGGGTCTAGCGTCCCTGTGATGTGGTTCGGACGTGTTCGGACCATCATCCGCAACGTTCCGCAGTTCCACAGCCTGCGCAGCCCATATGAAGCTTTGAGGTTTGCCAATGCAGTGAGAAAGTTCGAGCAAGTGAACTCCATTCTGGCCGATGTGACTGATGGGGATGATGTGCCATCGTCCTTGCCTCCTGGCTCAAAAATCCATTTGTTTTGGTGCAGCGACAAGAATCCAAGCCCCCGGCTTTCCACTTAACTGGCGCAGTTCCAGTTATAGGTAGATATACAACCATGATAGTTATAGAAGTTGATAGAAGTTGTATCCCAACTCATGGTAATTGCCATACTTATTATACCCATAACCCTAACCGCACCCACCGGGCGCTGGTGCCGAGGATGATTAAGCGCTGTGGCACCTTGATGGGTGTTCCACCACCCACCGAGTGGGATGGCACTTGGGACTCTTATGCTCCTTAGCAGCCTTACGGCACGGGAGATGGAGTTTTTTTGGGGGGCTCAAGAATGGTGTACCAATACCAAAAAATGGAACGCCAAAATTTGCCACTTTCGTTAGTACTAAACTTTAAAACCAGCGTTCGGCGTCTGAGATGCCTAAGGTGGATTCTCTAGGTGTGTGAGACTGCCGCAGGTTGGGGCGGGCGGTCGTTTCTGGCGGTGTTCTGTGTGGTTTCTGGGGGTACCAACCTGGTGAAACTGGCAAAATTGAGGAATGAAGTAGCAATCAGAGGGGATGTATATGGATGTATGGTATACTGTGTAGCATGTATACCATGGTATGCCTGTATACCAGTAATGTCTGTGGTGTTATTTTGCCAAGCCTGAAAATTCCCAAGTTCATCTAGCCAGGTCGTTCTGTTTTGATCCGGGCTAGCAAGTCCGGCACAATGCGCAGTTGATTCTGATTCCATTTAAGTAGATGATAGACACTGCACTTTTCTTGAAGATTCACAGTAAAGCAAACTAGATCATCTACGCACGAAACACCAATGGACGCCCCCGGGGCCCGGCAGAACTCGTTTTGACCTTCCAGTCGTTGCTTTCGAATTGTCGAGACCAGGGCGAAGCGGGCGAAGCCCATATCGATTTACTCCCCAAATATGGATACCTAAGCGGTGGGTGACCCATGGTGACCCTCCCGCTGTTTTTTGAACATGTCTCCGGCAGGCGGCGAGGCTTAGAGTCTTAGAGCCTTGGCTCTTCAGAGCCGCGGAGATGCGGCTGATCCCTTGGGGTTGACAGGGCATTTCAGCCCTGTAGTGACTGGAAAAAATGGATCAATTATGGGATATATATATAATATATGGGGAATATATGGGTATGATGGTAAATTCCCAGTCATGGAATAAATGGTTGATGATAATATATGGATATATCATGATTATCATATGGATAATATCCACTATAGCAAGGTATATGATGGTAATTATATGGAGGAATTGAAGACCTCGGCTCTCCGGATCCACAATGTTTTGTCCTTGTGTTTCATGTCACTCCTCAAAGCATGTCTCTGGCGGATGAGATAAACAAATATCGCCACCCTTCGTGATGTTTTGCCTGATTTAACCATTCAGCAACTAGGATTGCAGTAGATTGCTGTATTAAGATATAACATTCTATAACATTCTATAACATTCTATAACATTCTATAACATTCTATAACATTCTATAACATTCTATAACATTCTATTATATCTTATGGGTGTGTACTGATACATCTAAACCAGGCAGGAAAACTCCACCACCTCTCCAGCCCAAAAAACCAAGGGTTCTGAGACGATCGGATAATTCTGGCCGCGATCTGCGCGGCCGGCAACCGGCGACGGTTTCAGTTTTTTGTTTTTTTAAATACACATGGGATACAACTAACAAACAAAGCTGCTTGGAGTTTGACGTGTTATACACATGTATGTGTATGTATATATAAATATGTAAATATGTAGAACATATGTAGACGTGTATGTATTTATAATATATATATGTATGTATGTATGTATGTATGTATGTAAACGTATGCAATGTAGTGCAATGCAATGCAATTCAATGCAATGTCATGTCATGTATATAATGTAATGTAATCTAATGTAATGTACTGTACTGTAATGTAATATCATGTATGTAATGTATGGTATGGTATGGTATTGTATGGTATGGTAGGGTAGGGTAGAGAATGCTAGGGTAGGGTATGGTATGGAATGGATGTATGTGTAAGGTATGTGAAAGGTATGTGTAAGCTATGTGTAATGTATGTTTAATGTATGTGTAATGTATGTGCAATCTATGTGTAATGTATGTGTAATGTATGTATGTGTAATGTATGTGTAATGTATGTGTAATGTATGTGTAATGTATGGTAATGTAATGTTATTCTTTGTTATGTAATGTAGTTAATGTAATGTAATGTAATGTAATGTAATATAATGTAAATATACATATTTTGTGTGGTCACCCCGCAAAGGACCTTTATACCCCTTTGAATTCCATAGACATTTTGACATCTGATTCAACGGCAGTACTTTGTTTAAATATGTCTATGTGTTGGTTTCACCGAATGCGGGATGTTTCTAACAAAACTGTCAATGCCGGATGTTTGTTTCACCCAATGCGGATGTTTTGTTTCACCCAGAACTGCGAGTACCATCAGGTTCATGCTGCCAAAATATTCGCTGATTTGTACCTGAGATTTGCTGAGTCTCACTTGACCAATTACAAGTCTCATTTGGCATCCAAGAAGGGGTTGCTCCCCACACCAGCACCATCCTGAATGTAGCCCCTACGCCGGAAAACACATGGCTTCCAATTTGGTTAGGTTTGTTTGTGGAAGAATTGACGGACACTTGGTGTAAAGATGTGATGTAAATTCACTCTTCGTCCCTGTAATTTTTACAGCAAGCCTCCAAAGATGGGCTTCGAAAACAGTTTTGAACAATGCCATTCTAAAGTTCAATGATGGACACCATGTTAACATTTGGCCATGGCACCCTGCTTCAGTGTCGTCCCCCCAACACAGTTCTTTTAATTTTGCCAAAGTTGCTAAGTTAAATTCTCAAAGCAGCTGCAGATTGAACAAACTTTTGGCTCGCCTTCCCGACTTCCCCGTCCAGGGGTGCGAGGACCAAGAACTTTCAAAAAAGTGCCCCGTCCGCGCGATGCGATGTGGCAAACCTTGGTGATCACTGAATTTTTTCAGGCTTTCTCTTGGGCCCTTTTTAGAGAAATGGGTTTGTCTGAAAATTATGTAACCCAAGTTTTGATGGTTTGTCATCATATTTCCTATTGAAGTGGCCATACATGGGGTGTACTTTATTTTCAGACACACCCAAATAGACCTTTTGCAGCAACAATCGAAAAGGCGAGTTGGCTACCCAAGTGGAGAGAAAAATGGCCACAGAGGATTCGCCAACAGAATCCATCAGCATTCAACACATGGGTTGTCTGAACATAGGCTTGCGAAAATGTAGTGATTCGGCAGTGTGTCAAAACCTTGTACCCCTGTAGTTCACATCAAAATAGCTGGGATTCATGGATGTTCATCCCACTAAAAATGCTATTTTCATAGGTATTGATCCATACCCATTCTTCATCATTCTTCCCAGACAACTGCAGTGTTGGGGTGGCTTCTATTTTTGGACAAAACCACAAGGACTGGCAGTCCTACAACTCGGACTGGAATTGGTTTCCTCCACAGGTCACGGCAATGGTGACAAGAATTCATCATCCAAAATATAGATTTGGAAGATCAGATATATAATATATCAGACATTTTTTGGGCTCCAACATTCCATTTCAGGTTAGTGTGGCTTGATTCATGGACTTGTCTCCATTTGTCCGTAATTGCATCTTGCAGTATCTTACACATGTTGCACGTGTCGGCAGTGGTATAATGTTTCAATGGAAGACCTCGCGCCTTCTTGGAGTTCAACTTCCCAACATGGGGATGGGTCCATACGCCGCCGGAAGGGGGTTTCCAGGCTACATGGACCAATATTTATCCCGTAATGAAACTACAACCTTTTCTCTGAGATTTCTATTCAGAAGCTTCCCTTTCTCAAAGTTTCGTTTCAGAAGAAACTGATCGAACAAATCAACCCAGCATTTCACCAGCATTTCACCAGCATTTCAGCCCAGCCTTGCGCCATGGATAGCCGTACCACCTCGCTTGAAGTGGATGAGGAGCTAAGGGACCTAGGACACGAAGCCGCCTGGTTCCTGTCTTCAGCCAAGCCTGGCAACGGCACCTGGGCCAGTAACAAAAATGGCATATCTGCAGCTAGATTTTTTGGCTGCTACATGGGTTATATATATATATACATCTACCTGTATGCATGTTAGAAAAAAATATATCATATACTGTATCATATAACTGGGATTGAAGGTATTTGACTCACGATATAACGATATAGATCTCTATAGTACATTCTAGCAGACAAGCAACATACCTCGCAACCTTGTACGACACAAAATGCCGCATGGAAAGAGACGACGATCCCTGGGAACTATTTTTGGGTTGTCTAAAAATGGGGTATATCCCAAAATGAAAATTTTTGTGGGAAAATGATGATCAACCATGGGATTTTGGGGTAGTTTCAGACACACCCACGGAGTGGGCCCTACGCTATAGGTACAATGGTATCTCCAAAAATCAGTGGAATCAAATTCGACAGCCTCAGATAGAACGACGCGTTTTACAGCCCGTTTGAGATTGATATTAACAATGCGGCTGTGACCCCCATTGTATCAAGATCTACAGGATGGCCTCACGTATAAATCAATTTCAATAGGAACCCAAGTCAATTACTGGCAGCATATATGATGAAACCGGAATAGCGAGCTATTTCATTGGACAGATATACTACTCATGCTGTCATAACTATGTCCTGATCTGGCGGTTTGCTGGGCAGGGCAGGGATCTTTTTGAAAGATTGATTCTGGGGCCCCATCTAGTGTGGTGCCTCCCAGCTATGTTTCTTGGCTGAAAAAAATAATTGTAACCCCCATTAACTACTTCGATATATCTACCGTAAACCCTCCTACCCAGTGAAACTGGAATTATTTGCACCAACTTCGCCAAGATCAATCAGTTATATAAATCTGAATATAAATCTGAACATAAATCCACATAAAAGCTTCATAAATCATTCATAAATCCAATTTTTTCTTAGTTAATCACCCCTTTTCAGCTTCAGGATGCTATGTTTCAGCACCTTGCAGCCAAGGTGTCGAGCAGTTGAGGGACGGTAGCACTGAGAGTTTCTGGCAGTCGGACGGTCCACAGCCGCCTTGGCGGAAAGCGGGGAGATTTACGGGACGGGATGTGTCATGGAATATTTCATAGGGATCTTTTCACGGAATATTGATAGGATATCTACATATATACTGTATATATATAATTATATTCATGATTATACAGAATGATACATGAAACAACAGCAACAATACGGATGTTTCTGGTTACTTAAGACTGCTTAAGCTTATTTTGGTGATACTGGATGCTGAAGAACAGCCAAAGACCTTGATGGCAAGGACAGCTAGACACCCGGTGTCCATGGATGGCTGCTTGAAGAAGCCGATATGTATGTACATATATATATATGCATGTGTACACACATACAATCATATATTATATACGTTATAGTATGTACATTTTATACCTATAAAGATACATGCAAGTATATAGATACACGCATCTATATGACTATATATATATGTATGCAGATGTATATATATATATACACATGTATACGTAGATATATATGTATATATATATATATATCTATAACATGCAGCATTTTTAATAAAATGCACAGTGCAGATGTATAGACAGACTCTGTATGCACGACATATTTGATCACCTGCTGGATGGGTGATTGGCAATCATGGGCAGCCACAGGGTTGACACCAGTGGACATCGATAGGAGATGACAGGAGATTATTTGATCCAAACACAAACCACTTATTTGATATAATTCAGCAGTGTTCATCATGTGTAAATCAATGGAAATCACGGTCAAATGCCTGCTCCTGGCTGAAACCGTCTAGTTGCTACTTGTTGGCCCGGTTCTTGTTCATTTCGGCCCTGTTTGAAACCCGTTTCGTCATCATTTTGTGTGGGATGATTCAACCCGTGAAACCCAGGCCACACCTGATCAACATCCAGTTCCAACGGAAGGTGAAGGTCAGCGAGATTTGCATCTTCGTTTGCTTCAAAGTGGATGAGTCTGCTGGCTGCACTGAGGGCCGGGACGGCTCTGCGTAGGGCCTCAGGGTTTGATAGGGTTAGGATGGACCATATATGTATATATAATATATATATATACATTTATACACATTTATATAATGGTTTGTGATTTATAGAATAGTGAAGTGCTATGGATGATGAATGTGAATAAGGGGAGATCCACAATAATGAATCATCCCCAATAGTTGTGGTTATGAAATTGGGTATACTTTTATTTGGAATGATTTATCATGATATATATATACACATATGTATATACATATATATGTATATACATATATTATGTATATACATATATATGTATATACATATATATGTATATACATGTTTGCAATAGCACATAATTGCACCCTTGTATGGTGGATAATTGAGGATGGTTGATTTTTGTGGATTCCACATTAGGGCATCTGTGAAGTGATCTATTTGATGTGGTGCTATCCTGTACCTAACTTTGACCCATGCATGAGCAGAACATGAACCAGCGGTTTCCAGTTCGATTGCATGGGATATGGCCTGTTAATTAAACATCGGAGCTACTGAAGCATATTTTTGGCCATACTTCGTGGGGATATTCCCTTACATAGACCTTAGAT